TGTGGAGCCACCAGATGAAATTGAAGAAGAAGGTGATTTATTTTGGTAAACTTGCTTGGTTGGAACCTTCCAAAGGAGAATGCCTTACAATACCATTGCTAAGATGGCACTCAAACTATGGTCTAGCAAGGGGCTGTTGAAAGTCATTGGGAGCTCAAATGGTACCTTTTACTTCTGGTTTAATTCAGTGGATAACTGCAGAAGCATACTTATAGGTGGGCAGTGGTTTTTGGCTGGCAAAGCAGTAACACTCAGGCCTTGGTCTCAGGAACCACAAAATCATAACCAACACTCAAGCACACTGGCAACATGGATCCTATTATACAATGTCCCACTCCAATTCTGGTCCCCCAAGGGATTAAGCTACGTTGCTAGTGCCATTGGGAAACCTCTTTTGGCAGATGCAATCACCACTGACATAAGCAGAATCGACTATGCCAAAGTTTGTATGGAAATTACTCCCCAATCCACTCTGGAAAATTCATTCCATGTGAAGAAAAGAGATGGTTCACTGGCTGAAGTCAAGGTAAAGTACCCTTGGAAACCCCTCTTATGTATTCATTGTAATTTCTTTGGCCACTTACCTGGAAGTTGCATGCCTAAAAACAATGTTCCTGTTAATACTGTTGCAAGTACTTCTAACCAATCTCATGAATGGAAAAGGGTCTCTAAGAAGTCTCCCAAACATTCCACTTCCCTCACCAACTGTGACCCCAATACCACATCCATCCCACACTCTCCCAGCCTTACTGACACACCAGAAATCTCCCCAACTGAGATTATTGATTCAGGGAAAGGGAAAGAGATATGTTTGTTTGTTGATCTCTCAATGCCAACCATTCCAGGGAGAACACTATGTTCTGAGCCCATAGCCACTGCTAACTCCTTTGAGGCTCTCTCTAATGAAAATTTGGAGAAGAATAGGGAAGAGGAGGAAGAGGAAATGGATCAATTCTCTACTTGTGAGAGTGATAGCAATGACCCAGCCTACTCTCCAATGGAGGGAAGAATAATTCAACCAAGGAAACCTAAATTCTCAAAAACTAAAAAGAAGCATGGGAAAGGAAAAGGGAAAGTTGTTACCTTGAAAGGGTTTAGAGGTATGTGTAGTCTCTCAAGCTCTTCCCAATTACTTGGGCTGCATGGAATATAAGAGGGTTGAACTCTCCCCTCAAACAAGTAGAGGTTAAGAATCTCATTAGAGATTCCAAATTGTCCCTTATTGCCTTATTGGAAACCAAAATTAGCCATGATAATGCTGAGACAATGCACAAGTTTATTGCTCCTAGCTGGAGCTTTGTTTGCAATTATTCCCACTCTATTCTTGGTAGAGTATGGCTCTTCTGGAATCCTGAAAAGCTAAGTCTTTCAATATCAAACACTACAAACCAATCCATTAATTGCTCTATCCTCATTCTGGATTTAAAAGTTAGATGTCTAGCATCATTTGTTTATGCAACCAATACAGCAGTGGAAAGGAAAAGTTTATGGAGAAGCCTTAACATACATGGTCAAGCAACTGTGCCTTGGGTCCTTTTAGGTGACTTTAATGTTTTGCTACATGTTAATGACTCATTTGGAGGTGCTCTGAGATGGACTCCTGGTATGGAGGATTTTAAGTCCTGTTTGAATATAAATGAACTTGAGGACCTGAGATATCAAGGCATCTTTCACTCTTGGACTAATAAAAGCTTTGGGTGTGCTAATATCTCAAGGAAATTGGATAGGGTTCTTGCAAATCAAGCTTGGTTGGCAAAATTTCCTCAATCTGAGTGTTGTTTCAAGCTTTGGGGGGTCTCAGATCATGCCCCAATGATTGTATATATTGGGGAAGTTAATATAAGAAGGAATTTACCTTTTGGGTTTTTCAATTTTTAGACAAACCACAGGGACTTCTTTTCAATTGTATCAAATGGTTGGTAATTGGATGTACAAAGCACTAAAATGTTCAGAGTTATACAAAAGCTTAGAGCTTGGAAGGGACCACTTAAACAGCTTAACAAGAAGGAATACAGTGACATTTCCTCTAGAGTTCAAGCTTGTAGAGAAGACTTCTATGCATGTCAATCCAACCTTGATTTAAATCCTATTGATGGTCAACTAAGGGACAGAGAGAAGCAACTGGTTGACAAGTTCACTGACCTTTGTTTAGCTGAAAAATTATTTTACATGCAGAAGGCACAAATTCTCTGGTTGAAAGAAGGTGACAATAATACTTCCTACTTTATGAAGAATTTCTCCATAAAATATAATAGAAGGAAAGTGGAATCAGTCTTAAATAGTGAAGGAATTTAGCTACATGGGAAGGATCTATAACAGGAATTTCTCAACCATTTTCAAAACTCAATTGGACAGCCTTACCAGCACTACCCAGGTATGGCATCTTTCTTTCACCTCATTACCAAAACTGTTCCAGCAGACATCATTCCCTCATTATCAGCAATTCTCTCTGACAATGAAATTAGACAGTGCATATTCTTCTTTCACCCCTTTAAAAGTCCTGGACCAGATGGCTTTAATTCAAGCTTTTTCACCCACTCTTGGCCTATCATTGGTCAAGAAGTCACAGCTACAATCAAAGACTTTTATTTCTAGGAAGTTGCTCACTGAAATCAACTGCTCTTACATTGTCTTAGTGCCCAAAACTCCCAATCCTACAACAGTTCATGATTTCAGACCTATATCATGCTGCAATTTGATTTACAAATGCATATTCAAACTGATTGCTTTGAAGATTAGCCCAGCCCTACCTACCTTGATTAGTCCCTCTGAAAATGCATTTGTAAAAGGTAGGCGTATCTCTGAAAATGTAATCATAGCCCATGAGTTGTTTAAGAGTTATCATAAGTCATCACACCCTCCTAGTTGTGCACTAAAAGTGGATCTTAAGAAAGCATTTGATAACATTCATTGGCAGTTCATAATTGATACCCTTAACCTCATAGGGTTTCCTACTTGCTTAGTTAACTGGATTTCTCAGTGCCTCACCATACCATCTTACTCTATTTCCTTAAATGGTGAGCTTTTTGGTTACTTTAAAGGTTGAAGAGAGATTGGGCAAGGTGACCCTATTTCCCCTTTATTATTTGTCATTGCAATGGAGGTTCTCACCCTCTCCATGAACAATGCTATTGTCAACAACCCTAATTTTAAATTCCACTGGAGGTGTAGCAAGCTGGCTTTATCCCACCTTACTTTTGCAGATGATATATTGTTATTCTCATATGGAAGTTTGGCTTCAGTCCAAACTTTATTCCTGACCCTGAATCAGTTTCTGGATTTCTCTGGCTTAAGTATAAACCTATCAAGGAGTCTTGTATTTTTCTCTAGAGTTGATCATCAAACCAAAACTGACTTCCTTGCCCTCCTCCAGTTTAATACTGGATCACTACCTATCACTTACCTGGAACTTCCACTTACATCCAAAACCCTTAGCTCAACTGATTTCATAACCTTGGTTGAAAGAATCACAATTAGAGTAAAGATTTGAACCTCCAGATTTCTTTCATTTGTTGGTAGATCTGTTCATGTCAAATCCATTCTTTGTTCTATACAAAGCTACTGGGCACAAACTTTTGTCCTTCCCAAGAAATTCATTAAAGAAGTTAACAGAATCTTGAAGAGGTTCCTTTGGTCAGGTCCTGAATTGAAGTCATCATGTGCTAAAGTTGCATGGGATGTGGTGTGTAGGCTAAGGATCAATGGTGGTTTAGGCTTCCCAAACTTGGAAATGACAAATTTAATTGCAAATTTGAAGCATATATGGAAGCTATTTGCTAAGAGCAAAGAAAGCGTATGGGTTGCTTGGTCTCATAGATACTTAATTAAAACTAGAAGCTTCTAGACAGTTAAGCTAACAACTTTGAGCTCTGGTTTTTAGAGGACGTTGTTAAAGCTAAGAGACATGGTAAGGGGTTTGTTGAAGCACAAGATAGGGAAGGTACTGACACTATGATGTGGTTGGACTATTGGTTTCCAAATGGTCATATACTTAGCCAAATTAATTAACCTCAATGATGGGAAAATTCTTCAACTGGACTTGAGAGTCAAAATTGCTAGGCTAATTTCCTTGAATCATTGGGAAGTCTCTAACTCACTTACTCATATCTCATTCTTTCAATCACAAAGTTTCCAATCTTAGCTAAATGAGCTATCAAACCCATCCTCTGAAGATGATTCAGTAATTTGGCTACCCTCTCCCAACTTCAAATTTTCCCTTGCTCATACAATCAACTACCTCCTTCCCCCTACCTTCAATTTTTCATGGTACAAGACCATTTGGTTTAAGCATCATATCCCCAAACACAGCTTCATCACCTGGTTGGCCATAAAAGGAAGACTATACACTTTAGATAGAAAACCAATGAGGCACAAGCATCATATTAATACATGTTATCTTTGTCTTGCTAACTGTGAATCACTGGATCACTTATTCTTCCAATGTCAATACTCAAAGGTATTCTAGTCATACATTCAGTACTCATTAGGGCTTTACATCCAACCTTCTTCTTGGAAAGATTTGATCATTTGGTGCTCTTCACATTGGAGTTCTAAGGGATTTTTGGTCCATAAATTATTGCTCTCAGCTGCTGTCTATTTCCTTTGGATGGAGAGGAATAATAGAATTTTCTGGAACACATCCTCACCCCCAAACAATATCATCAGTCAGATCAGGAAAACAATCAGAGGGAGACTGGCTTCAATCAAGCTGAAGAAAATAGCAGACCTGAGTAATCTTAACAGGATTGAAGACTTGCAGAAACTCTTCATGGAAGGTTGCAGTTTAGCTCATGCTCAGGCTCTTTTCACAGATTAACTATTGTTGTTCTAAGTTGGAGATTTGATGAGCTACCATCTCTATAGCTTTGGTTTAGAATGGTTTAGCTTCGGTTTTGATGTTAGCTTTGATTTGCTTCTGTATGTTGTTTGTAGTTCTCATGCCAAGCTTTTGCTTGTTTGCTTTGTTTCTTCTGTATATTGCAACTTGGTGTCCCCAGACTTTGGGGCTGATTTGTACATTCTTTTCATTATATAAAGCTTACCTTTAACTATAAAAAAAAAATTTATCGGCGGAAGTTAGGCTGAGGGGTTCAGTTTGCAACTTTTTAATGCGATATGGGTTTTTTTTTTTTTATTTGGTTGAATGGATATTTAAAGGGTATATTTTCTCACAAAGTTTATTGCAATTTGTTTTAAATTTTAAAGATTATCCAATATGAGGTCAGGAGGAGGAAACAATTCAAACAAGTGTATTTTTACATATAGAAAATTAAAATCATTCTCACTTTAAATAAACAGGTATATTAAGATAGTCACTGGTCAAGGGCCTGAACAAATGAGCCGCCTGTGTCTCAATCAGCTCCAATTGTCCACCCAACATGTGCATGTACACAACCCAGTCTCCATTCCCTACTGGACTTGGCATGGGCATCACGTACCCGGTCTCCCCGCCCCACGGGAAATGGTACGACCCGAACACAGGCTTCCCCCACCCGAAATCCACCTCAGACACCGGAAACCTCTGCCCCGACGAAACCACCACCGCCGGGCCCCCATCCTCTCTGGCACTGTATATCTTTGTCATAGCAGGATCCGGACGATGAGCCTCCACCCAGTCTATGAGCCCCAAAAAGTGTTCCTTTGTCCTAGCAGCCTGCAAGCACTCATGAACTGCATTTGCCACCCAACTCAGGGGCCTCTCCTCCAGCTCAGTGATCGTCTTTTCATCACAGGGGATGGACAACACGTTCCCGAAGTAAGCAGACATCATCACCGCCTTGTCGCCACTGTCTCCTCCGCTCAGCTGAGCCCTCCCGTCCACCACAATGCCTATCCTACAATTCTTGTTGCTACCATGTTCAGTACTGGCTGCTACCACTTTCCACACTAAGGCACTGAAAGCCTCGAGCTTAGTCCTTCTTTCTCCTCTAGCACTCGCCAATGATTGAAGGTGACTGAGCTGATTGGCCTTGATGTAATAGATTCGGCTTATCAGGTGATCATCATCGGGGTTTTTTTGTTTTGGTGGTGGCAGGGCCGAGATGGGCATGTACAAGTTGTCAAGGGAGGGATCGTAGTGGCCAGGATGCCTAGGGTTGAGGAGAGACCGGCGGAATGATGGGAGCAGAGAAAGTACCGGTTTGGACCGGGCCATCTCGGCCCATGACACAAGAAACATGTTGGCCGAGTAGGCGTCCGCCACTCGATGATCAAACGTGCACCCTACTACCAATCCTCCACATTTGAGTTCGGTAACCTGTCAATATATATATATATATATATATATATATATATATATTAATCCATGTTAGTGTAACATGCAATTCAGCCAACAATAAATGACAATAAAAATAATTAAAGGAAGCATTATTTTATGGGGTCGGTCGGTGTGCTGAAGCTTAATTTCATTGGTTCAACCAACTTCTTTTTTCAAGAATGGAAATAGTGCAAACCTTTCTTATCTTGGATTAAATTTCATGTATGAAAATGATGGAAATGATATATATTATTGGTGAAAATTAGAGTACTAGCTAGATTTTCTATGCTTGGAAACCTGTCAACTTCCTTTAACAAACCAACGTTGGATTATTTTATGGATCCATGCATGGCTAGCTATTGGATTCCTTACACTTTCCCCCATTTCTTTTATTTTTCTTTTTTGGTCACTTTACACCATTTCCCATGCACCAATTCAAACAAAAGCCTCACCCTCACATATTTTTCTGATTTCAAATCGAGAGGTTAATCGTACTATGACAACTTTACATAAGGCAAGGAAATTACCGATTTGGTTGATCCCACCACAAAAGGCATGGGAGTGTCCACAATCGAAAACTGGAATCCTCACTCCTCTTCACTTGCGCACAAACAACCATAGTTATATATATATAGTGGCAAATAACTCCCACAATGTTTGTAAGAAGTCTTGATTGAATTTCACTTTTTTAGAAGAGATGTCACTAAGTCACTTGTGTTAATAAGTTATCTCGATCAAATGAAAACTTAAATCTTTAGCTTGCCAAATGACTAGAATTAGAGATGGAGAGCTAAATTAATATGCATGCCATGATATATAGATCTCACTGACCTGGACAGAGAGCACCCCTTGCTTCTTCTTAGGGACCAGCTTGCCTTCTATGCTCTCATCAGGATTGTGAAAGTTGAGTTGTTGGAGCTCTACGTCCGCATAAGCTTCGATGAAATCCACCCCACGATTGTTGCAGATGACTTCAGGCTCTCCCAAGCAGTTCTGCACAACCTCCCCGGCAAATGCATAGTAGGACACCAAAGCTTGAGCCATAGCCTTCTTAAGGACACTGACCATGTAAGGAAAGCCGAACAAGTTGTCATCCTCTGGTATCTTGTAACAGAAGAACACACCGACATCTAGAGGAGGCAAAAGTAAGTCCAGATTCGACTGTGGCAGCCAATGCTCCAGCATTGGCAGCACGGCTGCCACTACTTCCTTCCTCCTCAGCTCTACCGAAAACAGATCACCTCTCGCTGCCATATCCATATTATTGTTTAATCAACTTCTTCTTTATTATATATATATATATATGAGTGAGGCCAGGATCGATGGTGTGTGAGATGACCTGTTGATCTAGAGAGCTAGGGATCATAAGTACTGTACATATGTATCTGCATGTATCGGCATATATTGGATTTGTAAGATGGGATAGCATTTATTTAAAGGATCGAGGCTCTGTCCTGTGTGCATCAAAACGATGTCGCAAGCATAGATCTCAGCTTACTGCTTGTAGTCAATTTCTTGTGGTAGGTGGCACCTACCTATGCTTAATTTCACGTTATTTAACTCAAAAGATGACAAAATTAAAAGAAGTAACAAAATCAAAGTTGAGTTCTCCTCCGCCCTAATTTAAGTATCGCCTGTAAAAAAAATTATAATTTTTAAAAGGATAAGTGAGATATGTATTATTTTCTTAAAAAATTATTAACTTGTACTTTTATGTTTTTAAAATTTTAAATTTAAAAGACATATACTTCCTCTATTTCAAAAAAAAATGTCATTTTTTTTTAGTATATCCCAAAATAATTATCACTTTCCTTTTTCAAACAATATATTTTACATATTTTCATATATGTCTTTGGAGTTTAGAATTTTAAACTTGAATATTTAAAGCTTAGAAGGGTAAATTAGTAACTTTACAAGTAGACAAGGTATGTCTCACATGTTTTCTTAAAAATTTCTACTCTTCAAAAATGACACCTAAATTGAAAGAGACAGTGTATATAGAAAGATGAAATATATTCTTTAAAAAAAGAAAATTGAGATTTTTGGAACAGACAACCAAAGAAAGCATGAGTATTGAGGAGCTGGTAGCTATGTGTGATTGGTTTTTTGCAGTTGTCTTGTATATTTATTTTACTTAGAGCAACTCCAATGCTCTTTTATTTGGGCCTCTTAAATTCAAAATATGAGAGTTGGGTAAAAAAAGGCCTCTCCAATGAGTTCTTATTTGAGTTCTCAAAATTTGAGATTCTCAAATTTCTTCTCATATATGGCAGCTGCCAAAAAATTTTGGCAAGTCTCTCATTTCTCAAAACGGTGCCATTTCTCACCAGTCGCATCTCTATATGTATATTATATATATAATATAATATATATAAATTCTCGAAAAAAAAAATTATATAAAAAAATTAATTTACAAATAGTGGTAAAAAAATTATAAAAAATTTGTTTTTATTTTTTTGTCCTTTTATGACAAGATATTTTAGATTTGTGCTTTTTTTTTTCTTTTTTTTTTTTATAAGAGATTTGTGCTTCTTTTTAATTAGGTTTAATTTTAGTTTCCTTTTAATATTTACAATTTGACTTGGAATGTGCCTAATATTAATATTATTGATGCAAATATGAATTGTGAGAATGGTAGTTGAAAAAGAATAGTGATTGTGTTAAAAAATAGCATTTTGCGTGAAATGTACCATTGGAGCAGAATTACTAAAATGTAGCATTTTGGCACTGTAGCACCTGTCAAAATATAGATTTGGCATGCGAAAATAGGTTTTAGCATTGGAGATGCTCTTAACAAAAGGGTCTGATGGTTCACAAAAATCACAAAAAAAGCCACCCAAGCTATTTTATATAGAAACCAGAAGTGTCAAAAACGCTAAACTCCTTTTCCTTCTACACCCAAAAAACCAAATACACCATACCACCACATCCAATACACCACCACGACGAAAAATTCTCACTCCCCCGGCTATTACACCGGCAGCCATCATCCTCTTATCATCACTTCCTCGGTGAGCAAATCTCAGATCGTTTAATGATCGAAAATCATCGAGAAAGCAAAACCAACGCCAATGTCCTTTCCTCCACTTCACCGACGTCAATTGCACCAGCGATGCATACCCAGAGAACTGATTCGGCATAAGTGAGGTCCTTAACACCGGACCTGTCCTTGTCACTGGACATCTCTCACACAATCTTCTCGATCATTTTTGTTCCCTCTGGAAAGAGAAGGGAGAGATGAGATGGTTGCACGAAAGAGTAAAATATACCATTTAATCACACAATTAAATTAAACAATTAATTCAATTAAATACATAAACAATTCATTACATATTCAAATAAATAATTAAAAATGTAATAAAATAAATAAATAAATTTTGAGATTATCCTTTTAAAATTAGAAATATTACAGAAGTTGTATTTTGTGATTAAAAATGTAATAAAATAAATAAATAAATTTTAATACTATTCTTTTAAAATTAAAAATATTAAAGAAGCTGTTTTTTGTGTGACAAATTGATAAGCATAGATTATACAATTACAGCGAATTGAAAGAGTAATAGAGAGACCGAAGAAAATGGGAAAATTGTAGTTGCTTTGCGAGTGGTAGTTTTGTGATTTGTTTAAAAATTGATGTCTATTTTGTATTTGAATGAGGAGCAACTTTTTATGGTGAAGGCGATAGTTAGTAGGGATGTCAATTTTTACCGCCCCGCCGGGGCCCCGCCCCGTCCCGCCTCGTTAATAACGGATATGGGAACACTTGTTATACCGTTGGGGCGGACATGGATACAAATTTTGTATCCGTCGAGGGTCACGGGGCGGGTAAGGGTTCAATATACATATCCTAGGGGCCCCGCCCCGCCCCGCCCCGCATATAACTTTATTTAATATATATATATATATATATATATATATATATATATATATATATTAATAAGTTATTTTAGCGGCTTACCCAATTACCCATCTCTTACAATCCTAATTTGGGATGTAAACTTGGTATTAAATTTGCTTTTGTTTTGGTTATGGTGGAAGTTGGAGCTTAGAAGTTCTTGTGATTTGATTGTATTAAACTTTTATTTTTGTTTATTATGTTCTCTGAATTATGTTATGTGCATGTTATTTTTTTTATTTTTATTAGGATACATAATTTTATTTATGTTGTGTCATTCCTAGGCTTTGCACATTTAAATAGCAGGAGTTTAAGTTCCAAAAAGTGGGAGAAAAAAATTTGTTAGTGGGGCGGGCACGGGGGCACAGTATTTCCTAACGGGGCGGGGTTGGATATGAAAATCCAACCCGTCGCGGGTCTTGGGGCGGGCATGGACTTGACAAAAATTAAAAGGGGCGGCGCGGAATTTAGGGAAACCCGCTCCAAACCCGCCCCGTTGCCATCCCCAATAGTTAGGGATGACAAAAATCCCCAAGTCGGTGGGGAACCACTTCACCCCCGCCCCCACCCCAGCCCCATTTAAAGCGGGTTTGGAGAACCGTTTACTTAAATGGGGTGGGGATGGGGGTTAAAAAAAAAAACCTGGTCGGTTACGGGGGACTCGAATCCCCGCCCCGCATCCGCCCTGAAACCGGCCCCGATTAATATGTTAAATTACTAGTTTACCCTGCCATGTTAATATATTTACTAAATTAACCTTCACTATATATATTGAAACCCTAGATTTTACCTTTAGACAAACTTCACTTTCAGTCGCTATATTTTGATAATGAGGCGGCAGTCGACACTGGTAGATCTGACGAAAACAACAACCAAGAAGGAGCCAAGGCCTAAGCAACTAGCATATTAGGTACTCCTACCATCCTACACTATTTTCTTGTTTGGATTTGAAGTTATTTGAAGAGTTGATACAAAATATTTAGTTTTTATAATTGTAATACCCCTTGTTTGATATCCCTCGTGTTTAGGTCTGGGCCTGATCAACCCGTGTCTCGGATCAGAGGGGTATCACAATAACGCTATTTTGGTACCCAATAATATAGATATTGCTTTAGGCCATTGATGGGTGAAGTTTGCAAACAGGTTTTGGAGACAGCGTCGGAGGGTATACCGAAGCGGAGAACAAGGACTTTATCGATAGTGTCTCTAATGATCAAATACACTTCTTGCTTCTTCGCCAACGTCGTCAATAGATAAGTTATCTTCTCTCTATATATCTCTCTCTCTTCCCCTTCCCTGGTGGTGGTGGTGGTGGAATCACAGAACGTTTCCATTCTCTTCTCCTTTTCGGCGACTAATTTGTGAATTTTATCATCTTTTTTCATTTTCAAATTTTACTTATTTATTTATTTTTTTAAGGAAAATAAAATGAAATTATTTCAAGGGCAAAAATAAATTAAATAATGGTTCTATCTAATATTTTCCTTATTATTTTTGGTACCCAATAATATAGTTCGTTCACATTTTGGATTTGCATTCCAAATATTGTCTCGTGTTTCGTTTCTAATTGATTAGTTCGCATTTGAGCTCTTCAAACAGGTATGTATATATATATATATATATCGCTCTCTCTCAATCTTGTCTCTGTAAGATTTGTATATTTGCAAGCGATGTTGTTGATTTTTAATGTTGCAAAACGGAGCTTTTTTGTTTGAATTTGATTACTCTTTTGGAACTGATTGACATTTTTATCTTTGCTTTTTGAATGCATTATAATCTAGAATTGATTTAGGGTTCAATAATATTCTTATTAATAAGAATCGAATCTTAAAGTTGATTATAGTCCATATTCAGATTTTGGGAGGAAATACTTTTTTTTTGCAAAGAAAATGAATAAGCTAATATGATAAAATGTCATTGTTTTCATCTTCACATTATTGTAATCTCTGTGGTTCTATTGCAGAACTTGTATAGAATCAAAAAATCAAAAAGATTGGAATTTTCAAATTTAACCGGTTATGGGGTGGGGGCGGGGTGGGGCAGGCGGGGGCGGGAGCGGTTATGGGGATTAGATGCAAAAATTTAAACGGTTATGGGGTGGTTTTGGGGGTTCCAAAATTAAACGGGGGCAGGGATGGGGAATAGAAAACCCGCCCCAAACCGACCCATTGCCATCCCTAGTGATAGTTACAGTACAATTGTTTTAACCAATCACCTGCGAGTGTCACACAGCGAGTGTCCTGCGGGCGGCTGCTAGCAGTTCTCATCTATTATGCTCTCTTCATTTCAGAATAAGTGTTATGATATTTCATTCATTTTAAATTAAGTGTCCTGTTTTAAAAATCCGAACACTTAAATTGGGACGAAAGTAATACTTATTATGGGAGGAAAGAAGTATATAATAATATATCAAATGATAAAATAATGAATAAGGCAGCCAATTGAGAAGAACGAAGAAAATTCCTTAATAGCACTAAAAAAATTAAGTCAGCAAAAGTAAGGGTAACGTTGGAAAAAAAGATAATCTTGAACTGATTTATAAATAAATTGTAAGTGTAGGACTTACTTGTCTTGAAAATTTTTTTAGAACTTAATTATCTTCCAGCCCAAAAATAGGACTATTAGGAAATTTTCCCAATTGAACGTTGCCCTTTTCTTCATTGGTCTGCTCCCTGTATAAATAAATAGATGGCAGTTTTTATTTCTTTTAAGACGTTTCATGTTACACCAAAAAATCGATAGCTTCAAGCCTTACAAAAATCATTACTGACGCTGCTTATTAAAAAAGTGCAATACAATTTCCGGTGCACCCCTTGTATTTTTATTTGTTGTTATTTTCTCGTGCTTCACGCTTCGAGCCTGTGGGTTTCGTGTTCTATATTATGTATATAATATACTACTATATATATATATATATACACATATTAGTTAGTCATGACAGATATGACTCAATTTGATGCCAAATAGTGATAAATGTTTTCTGGGCTATTTATTTATTTTAACATTACGTTTTGATAGCACTAAACGTTTTGAATTTAGAATTGAAAAAAAAATTTCAGCACCAAACGTTTTGAATTTAGAATTGAAAAAAAAAAAATTTAGCACCAAACGTTTTGAATTTAGAATTGAAAAAAAAAAAAGCACCAAACATTGAAAAAAAAAATAGCACCAAACATTTTGATAGCACCAAACGTTTTGAATTTAGAATTGGAAAAAAAAAAATTAGCACCAAACATTTTGAATTTAGAATTGAAAAAAAAAAAATTAGCTTAAATTTTAACGAATTTTTTTTCAATTTTGAATTCAAATCACTAATTCAGTCCTACCAAACATAAGCAAATATCATTTAAATATAAACGGAGTACAAAAATAAGAGAATATTTTAATATAATATTATATGTTATGTATTCGCACCACATATTCGAAACAAAAATATGATACTCAGTTTTTTTCCCCTCCTATTTTTTTTCTTATTTTTTTCTTTTCAGTAAAAAATTAAACTACCCTCCTATTTATTCATGTTAATTTATTATTATTATTATTATTCATCACTAAAATGGTTAGCAGTACATTAGAGCAAGTGTTACCCTACAAACTAAGCAGACCATAAGAGGGAGCAAACCACCGAACCCTTCAAAGTAAAAGATGAAAACAGAAAATTGGGAATCATTTAATTAGCTAGTGAAGATCGATGCAGCAAAAGGACAATCAGCAGTCCATTATCTATCTCTGTAAACGATGACAATTTTAAATCACAATTGGAATCTTATACCACTCCGTATTAAAACAGTACAGTATTAATTAACCAATGGTATCCAATTTTATTTTATATACTTTTTCCCAGACAAAAGCAAATTGCAGCCAATTGATTACTCTAAAATTATTCGACTTTAAACCATAAACGTTTATAAAAGAATTCTAACAAGGTCCAAGACCCTCAAGCGAAAAACGAGGTAAAACCGAGTTACAATGTGGCCTAGACCAAAACAAAATTCAGGTGCAACATCATAATATTCCTCAAACAAATACCCCGCAATACTATAAAATAAATAAAGCATCTTGCAAGAATTATCTAATTAGACGAGCATCCATTCTGGCATTTCTGAAAACATGCATGAATTTGGGACAAAAAAGAAGAATATTAAACTGCTAAAGCACGTTGGAAATAAAATAGCTAGGATGCTAAGAGGAATGGTCAAATAACATAAACATACAATTAGGTTAGGTTATTATGATATAGAGCATGTGACAATTGATTCCACAATTATTATTTATTAGAAATTAAGATATTTGATCAGAATCTACTTGGTAATGGTCGAAAAAGCCTATTCTCACCAAATTCACTGAATTAAGTCTCAAGATTCACTTGGTTCGATTAGTACTTTAATAGTGATGTCATAAGAGAGAGTAAATTGCAAAAAGTAATAAAATGTGACGGTGCTATTGTATTATGTGAGTAGTAAAAAATCAGATCTTAAATATTCTTACCCTATATTTTTAGATTTAAATCTCCATCCTTTGAATCACCACTCACTCATAACTCTCTAACCATTGCAAATTAAAAATAAAAAATTGTGAAAAGTAATATGAATGGTAAATGTTTCTAGAAAGATTAATTGATTTCTATGGCAATGTTGTCATGATGAGCTTCCTGGATGCTTATGCGCCCCAAATAAAAATTGTAACTGCATGCTTATGCGCCCCAACACACCAAGCACGTGTGGCTCATGGGTGTGCTAACTTGTCCTTGGGCAAGGCGATGGCTCAAATAAAAGCATTGTGGCTTGACAAGCAGCATATCGCCGACTTTTTCTTATTTATTTTTTTAAAAGATAAATTCAATTAATAAGAAACCAAATAGTACAAGACTAACCATAGCTAATCAATGAACCATGGAGGCTCAGAAACACAACATTCAACGGCCCATGATACAAAGACCAAAAATGGAGCGAACTCCACAATTCAAATGATAAGCACGATATTAGTCTACCACACATTCCCGATGAAAAGGAGAAGAAGTTCGACAAAACACCTCTTCAACTTCAAGAACTCCGCATATCGCGACTTGGTGGCACAAATGGACTCACGGTGTGGGCATGGCGCTTAGCATACCCGAACATTACCAAGGCATGACAAAACTTGGTCTAAGAGCATTGGGCAAGCAATTAATACTTTCCATTTCTGACATGATGAATGGGCAGAAGTGTTGGGCAACCTCCAGGGCAACATGGCGAGATCTAGCTTGTGCTCGCAACCCTAGGTGGATGGGGGCATCATCCATGCACCAACATTGTGGGCAATTGTAAGCATTTTTGTGAGTGCTTATGTATAGCCATTGGGTGGTCTGCAACAAGCATGAGACAGACTTTGCGAGCTTGTGCAGACACCATAGGGTTTCTTGTACTATTTTGTGAGCTTGGAGGCCAAAAGCCAATGTAAACTTGTGTCGTCCCTTGTGCCTATTACATTTTAACCTTTGTGTGTCATTAACAGACTAAGACTTGGTGTACGTGACCAAGGGTCATCACAGGGCCAAAAAATTGGTGGTGATTTTGACCCATGTGACAGCAACCATAGATCCCTTCCCACTCCGTGTGTGTGTGTGTGTGTGTGTGTGTGTGTGTGTGTATCTCCACAATTAACAATACCATTAAATAAACATTGACGATAAAAAACATAGTACATATACATGCAGTAGTATTATTATGCTAGCTTGGTCAAAGACCAAAATGAAAACTACTTTGGTTATATATTAAGATAACCACTAGTCAAGGGCTTGAACAAATGAGCCCCCTGCGTCTCAATCAGCTCCAACTGAACTCTCAACATGTGCATGTACACAACCCAGTCTCCATTCCCAACTGGACTTGGCATGGGCATCACGTACCCGGCCTCCCCTCCCCACGGGAAATGGTATGAACCGAATACAGGCTTCCCCCATCCGAAATCCATCTGAGACACTGGGAACCTCTGCCCGGACGAAACCACCACCCCCGGCCCCTCATCCTCGCTGCTAGCATATATCTTCGCCAGAGCTGGTTCTGGACGGTGAGCCTCCACCCAGTCTATCAGTTCCAAAAAGTGTTGTTTGGTCTTAGCAACCTCCAAGCACTCATGAACTGCATTTGCCACCCAGCTCAGCGGCCTCTCCTCCAGCTCAGCGATCCTCTTTTCCCCATAGGGGATGGACAACACGTTCCCGAAGTAAGCAGACATCATCTCCGCCTTTTCGCCACTGTCTCTTTCGCTCAGCCGAGTCCTCCCGTCCACCACAATGCCCATCCTGCACTTCTTGTCGTTACCATGTTCAGTACTGGCTGCTACCACTTTCCACACAAACGCACTGAAAGCCTCGAGCTTAGACCTTCTGTCTCCTCCAGCACTGGCCAGTGACTGAAGGTGGCTGAGCTGATTGTCCTCGATGTAATAGATTCGGCTTATCAGGTGATCATCATCTGGTGTACCGGATTTTTTTTGTTGGGGTGGTGGTAGGGCCGAGATGGGCACGTACATGTTGTCCAGAGAGGGATCATAGTGACCTGGATGTCGAGGGTTGAGTAAAGACCGTCTGAATGATGGGAGGAGAGAGAGTACCGATTTGGACTGAGCCATCTCCACCCATGATACAAGAAACATGTTGGTCGAGAAGGCATCGGCCACTCTATGATCAAACGTGCACCCTACCACCAGTCCTCCACATTTGAGCTCTGTGGCCTGTCAACATAATATATATTCCATGTTAGTATAAATGTAATTCAGCCAACATGTATATGCTGAAATTCCCTTTTCATTACTTTATGGGGTCCATATATAGGCAGGGACGGAGCCCGAAATTTTTCTCAGGAGTCACATTGTACATTATAATATATATTTACAGAATAATTGTATATGCTTTTCAGGAGTCACATTGTACATTATAATATATATTTACAGAATAATTGTATGCATATAAATCGTATATAAATAGAGATAGATGGATATATACAGAGAGAGTAATATGAAAATGTGTGTATGCCATGATAGATAGATCTCACTGACCTGGACAGAGAGCACCCCTTGCTTCTTCTTAGGGACCAACTTGCCTTCCACACTCTGGTCAGGATTGTACAAGTTGAGTTGTTGGAGCTCTACGTCGGCGTAAGCTTCAAAGAAATCCACCCCACGATTGTTGCAGAGGAGTTCAGGCTCGCCGGAGGTGTTCTGCACAAGCTCCCCGGCAAACGCATAGTAGGACACCAAAGCTTGAGCCAAGGCCTTCTTAAGGACATTGACCATGTGCGTAAAGTTGTCAGCAGCTGTTTTTTTGTAACAGAAGAACACACAGACATCGACTGGAGGCAAGAGCAAGTCTAGATTGGAGTGTGGCAGCCAATGCTCTTGCATTGGCACCACCGCTGCCACTACTTCCTTCCTCCCTAGCTTCACGGAGAACAGACCTCCTTTCGCTGCAATATCCATATTTTGCTTAAGTTCTTCTTTAGTACTGTATATATGTGTTGTGAGGGATAGTGTGTGTGGATCGTAGCGGTATATATATATATATATATGAATATATATACAGGCAATGATGTGTGCAAGATGGTGTGATAGTTCCATTATTTATAGTCCCCTCTCACCACACAGAATGACATGTGTCCCTTTTAAATTGAAATTATTGAATGATGCCCTTTTCTTCGTTGGTTCTCTACAGTTTGATGTTTAGTGGGTGTGCAAGAAGTTGCAATGAATTTTTTATTTTTTTTTCCTACAGTGTGATAATTTTATATATATCACGTGTGAAAAAAAAAAATTAAATATATATATTTATATATAGATCACGTGCAATTTTACATTTTTGAACGTTTTATACATGCGTCACTTTATCTAAAGAATCTACCGCGTACATAAAACGATTACCTACCTGTCCGGTGTACCCAGTGTATTTAGAAATTTTTTAGGTTGGAGCAATTTTGAACAGTAAAAGAAGTAAAATAAAAAATAAAAAATTTGATAATATTTTTTTTTAAATAATACATTTACAATTGTCTCAGTTTTATGTTTCAAAAATGTTTTAATCTTTAGGAAAAAAATTAGAATTCAAATTATAAAATGTATTACGAAAAAAATTACTAAATTTGTATTTTTTTAATCTTTACATGAGACTCTAACTGGTGGGATCAATGACAAGATCACAAGTAAATAAATTAATAAAAATATTTGTCTTTCTAGTTCCCAACCATAAATTAATTAGGGCTTTTTCCATAAATTAATTAAGATTTTTTTCATCATCTTAGGACTTGGAACCAATGCATGGCAGCCCATTTTTAAATATATTTTCCAAGCAAAAGCAAATGGCAGCCAATTGATTAATGTTCTTTCCTACGTACATTGGTCTACACTCTTTATGCACTAATTAATAATGTGTTGGAGTATATAGTTGTCCTTAATTTTATTCCTTAAGAAAAGAGTACTATAAAAAATAAATAAAGCGTACGTCTAGAAATTGGCTATCTAATTAGATGAGTCCATTCTGAAAGCAGGCATAAAAACACGGTTACAAAGACTATACATATAATTGTTTGACCTTTCCAAAATATATACACGTATTAAACTGCATGCTAACCGCATTGGAAATCAAATAAGATGTTAAGAGGAATAGTCAAATAAGACACTTGTCGGTGAGGGTTACATATGATATTCAACATGTCACCATCAATTACACGATCCTTATTCAGGTGAAGTGCATTAAACTTTCAATTTTTATTAACATTTTGTACTAGACTTTTATATATATATATATATATATATATATATATATGGTAAAAAGAACTCCCCTCAATTATTTAAAGAGGTGACTTAACAAACGGACATTGAAAGGGAACGAGAATTAAAATACCTTAGGCCTTTTTGGAAATTTGCTTTATCCATGAGTTTTGATATTTGTTCATATAATTTAACAATTCTATTATTTTTTCAGCATAATATTTTAATAGTTTACTACACTGTTGAGGAGATTAAAATAAAATATCCTCAAGGATACATTAGTCACGTGGAAGGATTAGATTGTAAACTGACAACTTATAATATAATAGTATCTTATAGGAAGAAGCTATTTTGAAAAAGGAAAAGAAAAGGAAAAACATGTTGGCATAAAAAATAAAGAGGAGGAAAAACATGTTGGTATATACTTAGAAGGTACGGACACTTTTACAAATGAATCATACTTGTGTGGATATTGACACTCCTCAGACACTCATCGAATACTTGTCCGACACTTCATATACATGTCCATAAATAAAAATTAATTTTATTATTTCGGACACTTCGCCGACACTTCATTGACACTTTTCGAACACTTTGTCGACACTTCTCGAACATTTTTAATGCAAGTCTACCCAATAATGTTGAAGATAATATGAATACTATCATGACAAAGTAGTGAATTAATGGCATATACGATATAAAAATTATTACAATAACGACATAATTTTATTTTCTAATTTATTTTGTAGCAACTCCTACTATAGAAATTATAAATGAATTAAAGTTTTATAATACTATTACTGAATAGATGTATACTAATAAAAATTTATATTGTTATGTAGTTGTGTCCATGCCGTACCCGTGTCCTACTTTTTAAAAATTTGACGTGTCGACGTATCCATGTCGTATTATATTCGTATCCCATATCCGTATCCGTGCTACACTGGGTATATATCTTTTCACACACTACCACTACTACTACATAATTATATTCTTAGGTCCACTACAAAAGATCAGCCAACAACACACACACACATTACCCAGTCGAATACCATAAATAACCAGTATCAAGCTGTACATTAATATGCTGAGAAAATGCACATGGCTTAATAGAGAATGGAAAAGATGAAGAAATATAGGGAGTATAAAATAAAAAATAATAATAAAATAATAAAAAATATAAAAATAAATTGTCTGATATACTTTACAAGATATACCTCTCTTTGAAGAATAAATACCAAATAACGGGGTCAATAATCTGAGAAAGATGATCAAGTGTTCTTCTCTAGAACCAAGAGTGCTGGTGTCAAATAGTTATTTGCTTTGTCTGGTAAATGTGCAACCTGCTCAGAGGAGATAAATCAATGTGCAGTTTATATCTAAGTCATTGCAACAATAAGAAAAATATTCTGAATCAAAATTCTGAGTTTCAATATATATATATATATATATATATATATGTTTACGTCCATTACCAGCTCATAGAGCTCCTGTCCTCGCTCAGCCACATACTCGTAACATACCTAGTCATAAGCAAGCATAAATGCCTCAGCTCCATCAAACTAACATTGACAACAAAAGAACATATAATGTTACCCACATCAAAGCTTTTGTTCCTTGCAGTTGAATCATGCAATGCCTTCACACAGATATCAGCCACATCGGCACAGCTGATGCCCTACAATTATAATGGATGGTGTGAGCCCATGTTTATGTCCAAAAGTGACTTGCAAAGAGTTTTTTTTTACTCTCACCTGAGAGATTCTGTTTCCTTGATCAAATATGAGAGCATGTTGCCCACCAGGTTCTTCCTGAAATTATCGAGATTAAACATTTGGTTAACGGATTCTCACTATATAGTATTCACAGAGAAAAAGGGTAGCACTAGGTATCAAGTATTCAAGTTGAATGCAAGGGATGTAATCTTTCTGCCCGTAGGGCTCTTAGCAGAACACGGGTTTGAGCGGAAGACGGGTTTTACTTTTACAGGCTCTAATTAACAATTATAACCCCCATACTTGTAGATTATTGTCAACCATTACTGCCAGAAATACACTCATGTGGCATAAAGGATAATATCCAGAAAAAGACCCATTATCGGCATTATTTGAACTTTTTCCTTATTTGGGGGATGGGAGTGGGTTGAAGGGGAGATGGCAGGGAAGGAGAGGCCTTCCCCATTTGTGCTGTTACAGAAATTAATTCTGTGATTAAAGAAATATATTTATAACTAGGATAATGAGTTGGTTATTAGTACTCGAATATTCAAGTCATGACTTGGTCTACCAAGTCAAAACCTGCCATTTTGACATAGATATCAGTACAGTGCCCAAGAATCCAATTGATTATGACCTGGCAAAAGACCAGCACTGTAATAATAAACCGACCAAAATTTCCGTCCCCCCAAAAAAGTAATAATTCAATCAAGTTGCTCCTGAATATAGATCACAAACCAATCATGTTTGTGTAATAAATTTACCTTTAGGGGACCAGGGCGAATGATTGTGTACCCAAGGCCTGATCTTCTCAAGGATTCTTCCCCAGCCTAAAAGGAACGCCGAAAACACAGTCACTTTAAATGAAAACAACTTAAACGTGTAGCAAAGGGAAGAAAGCTGGAGAAATGGCCAACCTTCTTGGCTCTCAGGACCTGCTCCCTTCTGGTAGGTTCTATTCCTAATCCTGTACACGAAACTAAGATGAAGTCTGTTTCTTGCCCAGTCTGCAAACAAATGATTATCAGATTCCTTTTTTAGGGTGAGAAAGAAAATTTAGCAACTTGTAATTTCTATAGCCGGCACAGGAATTTTCCGCATTGTAGTTAACCAAATAAGCAGTAACGAACATAAGACGTGAAAAGACAGTTGCTTTTGTCTCACTAATTTCTCTTTTGAGACTCTTGTTATTGTATGGTAAATGTTAATATTTTATTAGTAAAAAAAAATTCTTTGTAGTCTCAGTAGGTTTATCCCTTGAAGCATAAATATCATGAGAATGAGAGAAACTACAGCTCTCAATTCTAACACTCTCTCTCTCTCTCTCTCTCTCTCTCTCTTATTCTTTTTCTTTCTTCTTTCATCTTTATTGAAAAAAAAAACTTCATATACCAGATTTTTTTACTTAGGTGAAATAGATCCTAGGCATCATTGAATTTCCTACTCAATTCAATAATTTTGTTCTAACTATTTGAGGTTGGCAACATAATTTTGTTTCGCTATCTTACTCAAGCGTAAGCCAAATTTCAATGAAGCTGCTCACTATCATTTCTTCACATTCCTCTTCACCAGGCAATACTGTCTCTTTTCCTTGCTGGCGCATGACCAGTCTTAGTTGATTTTCTTCTATGTGATCTCCAGTTATCCCCGTCTTAACACAATTACCTCAGCATTTGCATTTTGACCATACTCATTTTGTGAACAGTAATTTCTTAACCACCCAATATTTTGCAAAGATGGTCTAATAGTTGTTTAAAAAATTTACTTTAACTTTTGATATACATCAACCACACTATATTCTGGAACACCTCGAATTATGTTTTAATTCCACAAGCTACATCATCTCTTATATCCTCACTTGTATTCATAGTTTTGCTAAAAGCACATTTCAAATATTCAGTTCAAAGAAAGAAAATTGAAAACAGAAAAGGAAGACTAAAAAGAAGAACAAGGTGGAAGTCACAATGCATGAAATTGTCGATAAACAGTGTTTTCAGAAAATCGAAGTGAATTTTGAAATAGATGATTGTCCTCAAGTAGATTCAGCATATGAAAGTTCTCTATGAGCGTAATACGTTAGCCTGAATGGTCTTTGTTTTGCGAATAAGAGACGGCAAGACCGTGGGAATTAAAAAGGAAAAAAGATTATAAAAAGAACTGAAAAGCATAGGGAACTTTTTACTGTCATGGCTCATGACACATCAGACTCAGATGAGTGTTGGTATGGAAACCCAGATTTACTTAACAAAACAGCCAACCTGTTTATTTGACCTAAATTGGAGTTGGATATTGATGATATTCAATTATGGATTTTGTATCTGTAGGTCATGGATGCCAAATATTCAAACTAATCGGAGCTGGAACCTTGAGTTTTCCAAATCAAACAAACAAAAAATATAAAGAACAACGCACCTTATGAATATTGAGGGAATAAAATAATAAACAAATAAAGAAAAAAAACAAAATTTTATAATAAAAAATCCATTAAAAAATAATTAAAATTATATAACTCATACATGGCTCTTACTTATCTATTACGACTCTCAGGAGAAACGCCCAGAGCAAGGATGCAAACTGAATTTTAACTAACCAAGCTATTTTAGAATCCCATCCGCGTCAAAGAAAAGGGGGACAAAGAAAGATAAACCAAAAAAAAAAAAAAATCTACTCTACCGCATGCTTCGGGGTGGTAGGCTTTATTGTGTTGAAAACAATAATAAGTTCAATGTGACAAAGTTAATGATATAGTATATAACAAGCATGATATGTAAGTATAGAATAACAACATATGCAACAAATTAAAACGGAAACACATCAAAGAAATTGAAAGAAATGCTTTTATATATTCCAGCTTAAGTTTAAAGTTTTAATGAGTTCAATTTGATAGAGTATTGAAATGAAGTATGATGCATGATATCAAAGTAGAAAGCAAACTATGGTTGCACATGCAACAAGCTGCAAAGGAAACACATTAGAACTTACAGGAAATGCTTTTATATATTCCAATATAAGGTTAAAGCTTCTCAAATCTTGCTGCATCCCAGCAGGTCCTTCATTAGGTTTCTGCAGCAAGAAGTATGATGCATAGAATCAGAAGAGTTTAAGGGGCATCAAACGTTTTTATATTATAAAAAGCTATCAGCCTTAGTTTAATGACTCAAATTGCAGGTTCAGTTATTTTTGGTTGGATGAATCTGGAGGCCAGAGCCTATATGATCAGTTCATTGACGGGCTGTTGGACATCACAAATCTAAAAGATTGAGTCATTTAAACACCGGAGAGAGAGAGAAATACAAAACGTAAGAGATCAACCTTTTTTTTTTTTCGCAATAAAAAACAAATGTGTCTTTTATGCTTAACAAACTATATTACAAGTACATAAATTTGTTAACAAAAGAAACAGAAGTAAAAACCAACATGACACTGAAACTTTTTTTTGAAATCCTAAAAATGATCCTAATCATGTAAGAGATCAGATCAGTTTAAACTCTACAGTAAGATAAACTCCACACATGTTTATAATTGCCTAAGAATAAATGTGACAATGAAGGGGCAGTGGACTATGTAAACACTAAATTGTATGCACCTATGCAGGGTGTGTTGGATACACCATAATCCATATCAATTAGAAGGCATTCATCATAGAGCCTCTTACAAATAGTTTTAGATGATTTTTTTTTTTTCTTATTCAATTTTAAAGACTATTTTTCATGTCTTTGTTAATTTCCTTTTTTATGAATGTCTCTATTATCACTTATTTGGTAATGCAAGTGATCATCAATGTTCCGTATAGAATATTGTGTTGCAGGCACACTTATCCCAGAAAAAGAATATACACTGCATAGCGGACAGGCAGAAAGTGAATTCATAAACCAAATTAATGACCTAGGCCCACTTTTTGTAGGCCTAGAAGCAAGTGTTAACCACCAATTTCTCTTCAAGTTTTAAGTTGTTAGAGATGGTGTAACTTAAGCATTATGTCCTCTTAACATTTCCTAAGACGAAGTTGACACTGAGTAGAAGACGAGAGGGAGCTTGGTAATATAAACAAAGAAAAAACTCTAATAGAAAGAGGAAATTGAAATAGTTTACAACGATATATACCTGTCTTCTTGGTTCAAAACGTATTGTCAAGCTGTGTACAAGGAATGGATCTAATGGTGGATCATCTGGTTTCACTGGCCGAAACGACGAAAATGGTACTCTTACCTGTCAAAACAAAATAAGAAAGGGATAAGTAAGCTTTCCACCTTGTCAAATGCAGACGAAAGGTATGAGAAAAGAGACTGCTCACCCTGCAAAATCCTACTTTCGTGCTAATTCGTGCAAAATACATTTTGCTTTGAGTTCTATCGGCTGAAGGACCAGCCCCGAGTATCAAAACGTAAGATCTTCCATTCCCACCAACAGATAGTATTAGACCTTCATACCTAAACATGCAATTTTGATAAAGGTGTGGCCGATAAGTCATTGCAGTTGAGACAAAAACTACAAGTGAAAAAGTAAATCTTCAAGTACCTACTCATAAAACAAGGACCCATGGATTATGGAAGTATTACCTACCTGTCAAGAGTGGAACCCAGAGGAAGAGAGAGCTTTTTCGACAGTTCTACATACCCTCCTCTAGTGAAAACATACCCTATTGTCAAAAATGAGAAAGAGAGTCAAATTTAAATATTGCTAATCCTCCATGGTTCTATGTTTGGTAGAATTCATTAGGCTTATTCAAACATGTTTTAGTGGTCTTGAAGTGTTGTAGTGGCAACATGACTATTTCAAATCTAATGTGCTATCTGGGCATGTATTTTAGTCCACCTGAGGTCACCAGTTTTACCTGAGAAAAGTGCATCTCCATTTTCAGTGAACTGAAAACTCGCATCCATTCCTCCATCATATTTTGCAGCAACCACATCTTGAAAATAAGTTCCTTGACTGACATCCCATCCATTCAATGAATCCCTAGACTTGAACTTTGAAATTAGAAGCTTGCTTTTGCTGCTTTTTCCTGCTCGTAGTTGTGCTAATTTATTGTTGTAGTCCTGCAATTTGTGCCAGAACTTATAATATTTGCTAAAGAATTTTCCTATGGGGGCGGGCATTACAATGCCTCATGGAAATATGTTATTGTAACGTAGCTCTTGACCATATATACTGGTAGATTAATAGAATGACAGCACCATAATCACCAAAAATAACAAAGAAATGAGTTCATCTAATAATGCCCTATTCTTTAGACACAGTATAAGTAAAATAATTTTTATCAACAGCGGCACACAAAAAACTCCTCCCTCATCCCATGTATATATGATGACTGGCAAATTCAGTTGTAATGCAGCTTTGTTTGTATCAACCCACAAATAAAATCCATATTTTTCTAAAGGTAGTCGAACCAAAAAGCATGTGTAATTAGGGCTTATAGAGACTGACTGGATACAACGAAAAAAAAACCTGAAATGCTTTGGTGAGATTGCAAACCCCCTGATAATCAACTCTGTTGAGATCCCCAGTGACCGAGGACCGTGCTGTTGCACAATATATAATCTTGTTGCAACCTTCCACAGCAGCCTTGAGGGTGGAGGGTTCACCAACATCCCCAATTACTATCTCCACAGACGTCGGAAGCATCTCCACCACCTCCTCATCTGCCTTCCTAACTAGAGCCTAATTAGGAAAAAAAAAAAAACATTTATTTACTCATGCATGTTATCTTATCTTCTATAAATTGACACACATTCATTCCAAGTTCGTTCCTCATGCTATGTAATATCCTTAAAATTGGAATCAGAGAAAAATTAGTTTATTTCAATTCTAAAACACCAATTGCATACTCCTAACATAACATTGATATATTTCAATTCAATCCAATAAGTGAAATAGCATTATTATGTAGTAAATTATTAGAAATTGAGAAACCTAATCGGGTACCTTGACAGTGTAACCTCTGAGCATGAGCTTGCGGACTACGATGCGGCCGACACGGCTGGTGGCGCCGACGACGAGGACAGTAGTGTTCTGAGCGCCTGGGATGGTGAATTCGCACATGGGACCACCCTCACTGATGAGAAGTCTAGTCTCGTCGTCATCCGTTCGGGTGGTCCTCGAGATCTGACCCAATCCCGAGAACTTCCGCCACACCTGGTCAAATATTTGCCGGGAACGCCGACCCAGCCCCACCGGGTTCACCTCTTCCAGCCTCTTAATCATCGACTCTTCTCCTCGTTCTTCTTGTTGTCTCACATTTCCACCATTGTCTTCATTCCCATCATCATCGTCGCCGTCGTCATCGTTCTTGTTCTGATTCTTGTTGAATTTGCTGGTTTCAGGAGCAGAAGAAGAAGCAACAATCATCATTGAAGAACGACTACTACTACCAGTGGTGGAAGTTGGGCTTGGAGGACAAATAATTGGGAAGGGATTTGGTTTCCTCCATTTCCGATTATTGTTATTGGTATGTATGAATCCTCCAACAGTAGCAGTTGCAGTGGACATTGTTGTAGTTGTTGTTGTTAGTTAAGTTGATGGTTTTGTGGGCTTTTTTTTTGAAGTCCATCATTTTTGTGATATGTGGTTTTGAAATTGCATGTGGCTCAGATATTATTATTTATTTAATTATTTATTAAAAAATAGCGAAATTGGATAAGAAGATTAGGACGGATATGGTTGGCGTTTTGTGAGTTGGAGAGAGAGGGCAAGTCAGCGGTACAAGCAGAAATGTCAACCACACAAACCATAAAACCAATGGGGTTGTGGCGCGAAGAGCTTGCCACGTAGGGATCTCCATTTCCTTTCATTTTACAATAATTTGAAAAATAGGCTTAAAAATATAGGCACAGTTACTCGACAATAGTGTTCGTATGTTTTATAAAAAATTTCATTACCTATCTCTCTCTGTCTCTCTCTCTCTCTCTCTCAGAGGCTTTGTCACTAAGTCAAAAGGAATAATACAATTTTCACCTCCCTCCAGGTCATTTTATTCGTCATAACGTATTCCTGCATGCAACTCACCTATACAACAATTCTCCAGAATTTTCTTTAGAATAATTTAATCATAAAACACTTAAATAACAAGATGTTAAAATGCCACAACGTAGTAAAACGAACTCCACTAGAATTGTACACCTTTACAAATAACCTCAAATTTCCAACATAGACCATTACGAATGGTAAAGCTAGGAAGACAGAGGGCCTAGGGAAACATTTAAGAGAGACAGAGAGAGATTAGGTTTTTACATATATCATTAGTAATAATATGTACAAATTGCACACCAGTACTCACAGAAACAATTTATTGCTGTTCCGTGATTGCTACTTATTAATATTATTATTATATTTTTTATCTTTAAATAAAGAAGACAATCTACAAAATGTATGAACATATAAGGAGGGCAGAGCCAAAAAAGACAGACTAAAAAACTGACCTCCCTCTTGAATTCCGTTCTAAAAGAACATACACAGATTAGGAGAACTATATAGTACACCGTGCCCATCCAACGATAGCACTTACAAGATAAAATCAAAGAATCACGAAAAAGGGAGAAACTTCAATACTCCTTTCACTTCGATGGAAGATAATTAGTTATAGTTGAAGATGAGGGCAGCTCCGATCAATAAACTTCGAAATCTTCTGCAGGGAGGGGAGAATTCAGCTGTTTAAAATGTTAATCAAAGAATTATCCACTACCAATTGATTGTTAACCACTTTGCTGCAAATTTCCTTCCGCTATCCCCTCAAAAGATTATGAGCACACTTGTGCTGTAGCTGCCTGCTTCTACTCTTTTATCAGTCACTCGGAACTGTAATCTATATCTCCCTCTCTATGGGAGGTTTTCTTCTAAGCATCCATAACAATATATGTACAACTTGTTTATCCATCATTGCCAGCAACCTCTGCTGCTCGCTGCCTCATCATCTCCATCACTGCAGCCCTTCGCCGGGAATCAGACTGTTGTTGCAGCCTCCTCATATGTTCTTTCAGATCTCTGTATAAATATAAATTTACGAGACAATCTCAATGAGAAAGAGAGAGAGAGAGAGAGAGAGAGGGGAAAGGGGGGGGGAGCAAGAAACTTTTGATGAAGTTTAAAAACTTTTGTATAAACCTGCAACGTGGTACGTGGCATTCAGATTCTTTGCAAGCTCGAGCATGAAGTTGAAGGAGATACCACATTCTCTTACAAAGGGTACAGCCTCCAGAAGCACGCGTTTTACATTGAATACCATGGCGAAAAAGCCCCTTGACTTTTCGACAATGTGGATATTGGCAAAGTGGAGAACGACATTGAGATGCATGCACCAAAAGATCAAGCATTTTTCTAAGCTGTAACATCCAATAATCAAATTAGGTCAGGCATTGAGTAGAATGATTTAGACATTTCTATTATGTGAAAGCAAGTGATTCTGCATGCAACTTCTATCATTATTTTTTGTATCTGGTGGGTAGATAAAAATATATAAGAGAACAGAACTACTCGGAAGTTGGAAAAAAATTAGTTTAAATAAATGAATAAACATTGAAGAGAAAGGACTAGGTAAAAATCTGATCTTCAGCATTGTTTACACAAAACTGTGACCATCAAAGTCCCTGCCTCTTTGTCTTTGTATCAGTCATCAGTAAGTAGACGGTCGTAATATGATTATTGTGATGAATTGGCTGAATAGAGATCTTATTTCATCATTGTTAACACACAACTGTGACCATCAAAGTCCCTTCAAAACTCAACAATTTGAAAATATAATTTGCATATGAAAACTTGCCTCCAAGGGTCATGCACCAACAAGTGCTGCGCATTCTAAGCACACATTAGACTCCTTAGACTTGTTTTTAATTATTAAACGTGTTGTCTGTAAACTAACAAACAATAAATAGGGGGGACGGATCACAACAAATAGGAAGAACCAAATTGACCACTAAAGTTTTTGAGCAGCTTTATAGACTTAAAATCCTTAAAAACCTTCAACAAAATTGTATGGGGAGGAACTTGAACTATATTAAGAAATTCATGCCATAAGATGTGGGGTAAAGAAATGTCAAAAAAAAAAAAAGAAGATGAAGAAGAAAGGAAAAGAAAAAAAAAAAATAACACAGAGAAAACAAAGTGGTAACATGTGCCAAAAGAATGAGAGGGAAAAGAATCAACTAAACAGATAAGTAAAGATCTGTAAAGAATGTGGAAAGGCCAAAAAATAAAAAGCAAAATAAATAAATAAAGAAAGAAAGGACCAATATACCTGCACAACCCGTAGTTGCCTAGCTTCTTTATTCTGCGCATCACGATCAGCTGTACCATTAGTCAACTTATGAGGATGATCAACTGCCCCATCCTTTTGATAACAAGCGTTGCATAAATCATAATCGGGGCATATCTCACAGCGCCAACCTTGACCAGCTTCAATATCAAGACGACATATATTGCATGTGATCACGAATGCAGGGGCAGTGGGATTGTGAAGATGGTAGAGGACCATCATTGACGAATGTTTAGCACGACGTAGGGTATCATATTGATAATGGTTCCCCTGACAAAGACTCAGAAATGCCTGTCTGGTATCAAAAAATTCGCTTTCAAGAATATCATCTTTATCCTTAGTATCTGGAGCTACATCATTGATTTCGACCTGTAGGGTTTATCCATCTCAATTCTCATTCTCAATCAGGAAAGTAATAAAGTAGTAAAGCTTGATGTCTGACTATGAACGATTAAGTGAAAATTTAGAATTCAAGAACGAAAAACTTACTGGATATAGTGAATGTTTGTCTCTTTGATTGATAGGATGTCTGTCCCTCTCTTCACTTTTTTGTTCCGCATCATAACACCTGTAAAAGTATAACCATACGCATCAAATCGCATATAAGAGCCATTCGAGAAAACATAGAAGAATAATGTAAAATATATCATCTTTTAATATATCATCTTTTAAAGGCCACCAACTGATGATCCACCACAAACCTCAAAACTAATTTCTGACCCTTTTTTTGTGGTGGTTGGGGTAAGCCAAGTATGAAATTTCTGACATTTTTTTATGTAATAGGAACTGCCAAAAATAGAATGACAACAGTATTTAATTAAGTTCATGACAAGAAATATGTAGGGTGCATTAATAATCCATAAATCTCTGGTGATTTCACCCACTCATTCAATCTCTTCACTTCTTGAATGGTTCAGGTTGGGTTTGCGGAAACCGACGAAAACTGATTCTGGATCTAAATCCTACTTCTAGCAGTTTTAGATCACGTGTCTGAGTTCACAGTTCTATCTCTATTGATTAATTGCATTTCATACCATTCTAAACTAATGCAACGATTCGTAGGTCTTGCTTGTTTATAAACTATCAAAATAAAAGGTAATATTTGTTTATTCATTTATTTCTTAATTTTGTTGGCCAATCTTATATGTTTATTGATCTATCATCTAGAGAAAAAAATTGCAATTAAATTTCAACAAATTTATATTATCTACTATCCATATAGACATCAACATCTATTTATCCACGAAATATACATAACCTCGCCTCGAAATTTCCTTCTTTATCTTGTCTAATATATATTTTTTTTTTTCCTGGTACAAACTTACTACCAATTGAGAACATAATATCTTTCAATGCAAATGAAATTTTGTTAAAGAACTTATCAGATAATATAGTCAAAAAAGTGTACAGGCCTATGAAATAGCAATATAACTAAAAAATCAGAGTTCTTACTTATCACAAAGTTGAAAATTTTTGCACTGGTTGCAAACCCAACGGTTTCCAGATACCATTAGAATACAGCAATGGTTGCATGCATGCTGCAAGTGAACCATGATAAAATCTTCCTTCATTGGGGAAATTGTTTCACCAAGCTGGAGAAGATGAATAGCTTGTAAGAACAAAAGTATAATTTCTCTAAATATATATATATATATAACAGTTGATGGTAAAAATATCTCCAGACATAAAAATACCCAATTTCAATAACCAAAGAATCAGGAATAATATAAAACTCAATTAAAATATCGAAGATTCTACCATATGTTTATCAACTATTAACTAACACGAAGACAAACTTCATAGAGTCGGACACCATCACACACACTGTTTTTAAAGGCGCTAGAGGTCCTTTGGAGGCGCACGGCGAGGTGCGCGCCTGAGTGAAGTGAGGCGTACAATTGAAAATTTAAACTACCATAAAAACATTCATATCTCATAAGTCATCAATATTCTAAAATTAATATCAAATATAAAAAAGTAAATCCATCAACTAAACAAGCATCCAACAAACATAAAATAGAGCACAAATTTGTTTTCTTGAAAAGCAAAGCAGAATTTGGTTTTTTGAATGGCAAAACAGAGCACAAAAAGAAATAAATCTATTAACAAAAAAGAAAAACTGTTAACAAGAAGAGAAAAGAAAAAAACAGAGCCAAAAAAAAGAGGTTGAGATAGAAGAAGTAGATGAAGAGAGAGAAGTAGACGAGAAGAGGGAGAAAGTGTTAAAGAAAAAAATGAGAAAAAAACAAAGCCCCCCGAAAAAAAAAAGATTAAGAGAGAAGAGAACTAGACAAAGAGAGAGATGTAAACAAAGATAAGAAGAGGAGTAGAGGAGAAGAGAGGAGAGAGAAGTAGAGGAGAAGACGAAAGAACTGACGTGGCTTCGTCGTTCATCTCTGCAACTAGGGCTTCGTCATTCATCTCAGGGTCTCACTCTTTCTCTATTCAGTTGACACTTTGACTCTTGGGCTTTCTCATTTGTTTATTCTTTTGAACAAAAGTTTCTTCTCTCGTACGCTTGGGCTTTCTTATTTGTTTATTAAGTTGCCAAAAGTACCCTTTTTGGCTTAAGAGAGAGAATACTCATAATTTTTTTAAAAAAAAATCAGTGAGGCGCGCCATCAGGACGAGGAGCAACCGAGTCGCTCACCTAGTGAACATCAGTGAGAATGGGATGACAATAGGCGCTAGACCTGCGCCTCGAGCCTAACAACACTGATCACACGTGCAAAGGAAATGAAAGTACCGCTAGGATAATAACTATTATTATTGCTATTTTTAATACATAAGGTATTTAAGTTATAATGCTTTGTCCATGAGGCCATCTAAGAGATTTTTATGTTGATGAACATAAATTGATGACTATAAAAAAAATTATGAAATATATACTTGGGATAATGAATTAACTAAGAGCTATTAGATATTAGAATTACTTTATGCATAAGAAGCAGATCTTTCGATGCATTCCCAGAAAGATCAGATTGACCAGATGCTTTTAGAGCCCTTTTTGTTATGGTGGTCTTCTTGGTAGTTCCTTTCTTCTGTTGTTTTCTGCCATCCTCTTCTTGACGAAGCTGATAGATCATATCCTCTGCAGCACCAGGCCAGTAGTCTCCATCAAAATAAGGCAGCCGGGCTGCTGTTACCTTAGCTTTACATTCACCGGTCTTTACAAAGAAGTGGTCGTATAAATTTGTGAGGCCAACCACTATATTTTCCCTTGCGGCTTTTCTTAACATTGCTAAATACCTGAAACAGAAAGAAATTCATCCACGTCAAACAAAGGCACCAAGAAAGAATCTTGCTTCACTTAAGAAGCACAAACACTTGTAAGAAGAGCCATGTCCTTGCCAGATGTATCCTACACATCTTGGGCAGTTCCATAATTCAAAAGCAAAATTCTTAATTTTGGACAAGCAGCTGACACTCATGGATGCTCAATAACCAACAACTTAAAATGTTTGAGATACTACTTTCATTCAGCATTATAAAAAGTAACAATTATAAAGAAATTATTAAAGATACATACATTTTTTATTAAAATTAACAAAAGACTATTGAAGAAGTGGGTTGGAGAAGAATAATTATCATATTTAAGTGTGTACAAAAATACATAATTCCGTCCATTATATGCAAGCACCTCTTTGTTGTGTCGATATTCTGCCTTTGTCTAAACACCATAGGTAACATTGGCAATTTTGTTACAGTTACATGTCATATACATGTCCTACTTTTTTTAAGATTTGTCGTGTCAGAGTTCATGTCATGTCATATATCAATGCTATACCAGTGTCCTACTGTCCTGCATAGGTGTCCATGCTTCATAGTGCGTTATGATACCTATTACAGTAAATTAATTCATATATTCGGAGGTTACTATGCTCACCACTCCCTGAGTTTATCAGACTTTGGAGTTTTCTGAATTTCTGGATGGCAATATAAAATATAATCTTCGCCCTTCAATGGAGGGCAAGCCCATATATAGCAACTTGTAAAACCGCGTTTCTTGCAATATTCCAGGTATCCAATCTGGAAAGAGAATCAGGTATATAATCAAGGTCTATTTAGTTAAAAATAATAATGATGATAACAATAATATATTAATTACAATAAATCGCTTAGCAAGCAAAAATTATAAGAGCAACTAGTGTTAGAAAACTTGCCAGAATTTCATGATAAACAAACGTACGAAGAGCCTCTCCTGTCACTGCTTTGATCTCAGGCCTGAAGTATTTGACGGAATCCAGATATGAGAGATAAACACGACGCTGATTTGGCTGTAGACATTCAGATCCAAATTCTTGGACATACATGCCAAACAGGCATACTTCTACACCCTCAATTTTCTGAAACAACAATACTACCTGGAAGAAGCAATTTTCAGTTAATAATTCAAAGTTGTTGCTGGTCTCAGAGTCAGTGGTACAGCATAAAATGCTCCCTCTAGGGGGGAGAAAAAGTAGATATCTTTGTACATAAGAACATTCAAAGATAAGATTAGCATAATTCACACATACCTTGGATTTATAAGGGAATTCTATTGGGTAATTCTCTTCTTGAAAAATTTCAAGAAAACGCGGCTTCACATCCAATTTTTTGTCAACTGATGACACAACTCTAACTACAAGTGCTTCTGCTCCAGCAACCTGGCAGTATCATTAAACAAAACATGCAATAAATATTAGCGCGGCTTGGCCATCTGAGTTTCACAGTACAAAACAAATAATATTAAAGAAAGAGAGAAGACACTAGAGGTCCACCTCAGTGTGACATGCAACAATTCAAATAGTTAAAACTGTGAAAGCATTAGTAACAGGCATAAACACCATGCAGAAATAAACAAACTCGACAACTAATCATTCGTACATCAAGGAAGGAGTCAAAGTCCGAGCTAATGGACTCTTAATATCTTTTAGGGAAGGAATTCTTGACTGACACCTAGTCTAGCCTTCTACATGTTCTAAGTTACCCATCAGCTACTTCATGAAGACGGAACCTAAAAGAAGGCTGCAAGGTTTGAATCCCGTGGCTAAATAATTTCCTAAAGTAGGCTGTCCACTATTTTCTGAAAGAAAATCAAGCTGTCAAGCTTAAAACATCAGCTCAATATTTCCACATGGCTCTTTCCCCTTAAATTCTCAATTAGAAAAAAGCTTTAATCCAATAAATTACAACTGTTTATAAAATCACCCATTTAACTCAATTGAATTTTTTGAACAGCTTATAAAGATAGCTTCTCCCATTCAGAGGTTAAAAAATAATAGAGAAGAGCAAATTACATGTACATTCTTCAGAAATTTTCATCCTTGTATCATATTTAACTGCAATTAATTCAATCATCATCCTATATAGCATCACATGACAAGTTGAAAGGATCACCTCATCAAAACTTTTCCCTTGAACCCTCGCCCTGTCTTGTCTTTCTTGTTTAAGACGCCTAAACAACCGCTGCTCAATGTGGTCACTGAGAATTGTTGTAGGCAAATCTTTTGCTCCAAGAACAGCACTCTGTGGTAAAGGCGTGCGCTCTCCTGTTTCAAATTCTTTTATATAGCAGTTTGGACAAGTGTATTCAGCTTGCCCCCCGTCATTCCTACGACCATTAAACAATGCACAGATTTGATGTTGCCAAGCTTCGCACTTATCACATTGAACCCACTGCATAAAGCATAAAAAATTAGACTACATTTAAAGCACTTATAAGTACCGTCATGTAAAGCATAAAAAATTAGACTACATTAAGGCATTTACAAGGACCCTCATGTAAGGAAGTACAAAGAACTAGATGTAGCATACCCATTCTTCAGTCTCCTCATCATTTTTCTTCTTCTCCAGTCTTGCCTTTTGAACAGCATTACCATCAACTAAAATAGTTTCTCCACGGGCCTCATTGTAGCACGGAATGCAGAAGTAGTGTCGTGTATCGCCATTTCCAACGGTATAATACATTGCGTTCCTTTTAATACGAGCACCACAAGGAGTGCAATATATAGGTGGCGGTTCAAACGTGAGCTTCTCAACTGCACACAACTGACAAGAGTTCTCGCTCATTGAATGCTCCATTGCTTGATTCTTTTCTGCCTTTGCTTTGCTCTATCAAAAGGGAAAATATAGTAATGGAATCTAATTAGAAGAGCATAATAAACAATAGGAAAGAAGAAAATAAAATCTTAATTCATATCCAAGACATGCTGTTGATACATGATCTGTACAGTTTCTTATGAACTATATCAGGAGGAGGCTAGTAGCCCATAGGACAGTCAACCAAATGTTAGACCAGTTGTATTTTCACTAAGGTACTTTTGCGACTTGCAAAGATTTCATAAGAGAGGAATAGGAGACCAGTCATATTTCCATATGGACACGATAAGTGAAATCGTTGTCTTTGATTACTCATCTGGTCTTAGTTTTGCAAGTATTTGAAAAAACGAAATGGGCGTGTAACTGTTGATGTGTTACATAGCCTTGCATCTTTGTTACCATAAGCATATCCCCTTAGCTTCTGATTCATTATTTTTTATGTTGCCTTGCAACAAAGGAAACAAATGAAGATAGATAATGAAATCACAAATTTAATGTTCTAGAATGACAATGTAACATGTTCTCAGACGCACAATCTAAATTAGATTGCTTCCAATCTTCAAAAACAGTGGAGACATGATGTATCACAAAAGATGGTATTACATAAAATAATATCGACAAGCAACACCGAGAAGAATGTATTACAAAGAAGCATAGACACTTCCACGAATGCATCATATAGGTGTTAAGACATAACACACACCATAATTCGCGGACACTCCTAGACACGTGTCCGATAACTTGTAAAATGCATCTATAATTCAAAAATTAGTTTCACTACTTTACGTAATAGGCAAATACATCTCAAATGCACTCCAAAACACAACTTATGTAACAAAATTACATCTTAATAGTATCCATGTCCGGCGCTCAAAAAAAAAAAAAGACATGCCCCTTGATACATATGGTATAATGATCTTTAGAACATATGTTGTGCTACTTTCTCCACAATATTCATTTCTGAGCATAAATTTGAAAAAATAATTTAAGTTATATATTCAAAAGAAATATATATATATATATATTAACATTTATACGTTGCCCTTTCCTCACTGTGTGTACCACAAATTCTGAAATTTGATTTGTTGAATCCATGGCACATCGTGCTGTGTCCCGTATTTTTGTATGTGCTATTTAGATGTCTGATAAAGCCACTAGAATGCTTCCAGATGGCCTATATGGGCCAGATTTCATATTAAGTTCCAAAATTTGTGATTCAAAAGTTATAGATCACTATGAAGTGTATACTGCATTATTTTGAGGACTTCAATGAACGTGCAACTGTAATTTAGATCTTCTAAAAAAATATTGCAGGTGAAAACATAACCATTGGGAATCATCATCATCATCATCCTTGCCTTTATCCCGTCCAAGCGGGGTCGGCCACATGGATTCTATTTCCCCACTCTTTTCTATTATAAGCCATATCTTATACTAGATTTAATTTTTTTAAATAATTTCGTGTCACTTCGTTACATGCTAGTTTTGGTCGACCACTTTGTCCCTTGCCCTCAATGCAAATCACTCTTCCTCTCCTCACGGGTGCATCTATAGGTTGGCGTTGAATATGCCCATACCACCTAAGTCTACTCTCTCTTATTTTCTCGCTAATAGGCGCCACCCCTAGTCTCTCCCTAATCCTTTGATTATTAACCATTGGGAATGTAACTCTTCAAAATTGAACTATCTTTCAACTTCTAAGGGGAACCTTTTGATCCTTCCCAAAAGGCAATCAGTACTGATATTTTCCATGAGTTAATTATGAAGTGATGTTAAAGCAAATAACAGGCTACAACATCCAAAATGCACCCAAATTTGTTACATAAAACAGGCGCTTTTAGAGCAACAACAGTAATATAACTGACACCTTAATAGAAATGTAACATATGAGATCAATATACTGACCTGGCCCACCCACTGCCTGAGACCTATAATATGCTCCCTGACTTGCTCCGCAGTGAACAGTTCAGTCAATGACACCCCCTTTATTTTTGGTTTCCCAGACTTGGTTCCGGTGACATTTTCAACAGGCATTGTCAGATTTTCCTGTTTAGGCTGGTCCATCTCTTTCTCCATGTTAAGACTCACTTGCTTAACAAAACCAGGATCATTTGATACAATAGATTCACCATAAGACCTCCCGCTGTAGGTATTATCCATATTATCCTTCATTTCACTAACAATAGGACTTTCTTGCACAGAACTGACAGGAATTTCCATCTTCACTTCCGTGACCTCAGATTCCATCAGCATACAAGGATCAGCATGATGGAATTCCTCACATGGTACATCCTGTGGAGCATAGGATTCACTAATGGCAGGAATGGTTAGAGCAGAATTCTCACTCTCAGGAATAAGAGACTGAGGGGGCTCTTCAATCTTTATGCGTTTCAAAGAAGGTTGCAGATCTTCTGAAGTTTCAACAACCGGTGGACTCATCTTTGAAGTCAATCTAGTTTTAGTCTCTCCATCACAGGAATTATGGGACACATTGACTGAACAAGGTATACCAGAAGTAGAATCTGGACAAGTTTGTGCCTTCACTTGTGATTGTATATAATTCCTGGCAGGAACACAAACAGGGCAACTAGGGTCCTTGCAATGCTTGTAATGATCAAGTAATATCCTACTACCATGGCAGCGAGGATACAGACATTGAGATACATTGCATCGGTCCATATGCCTCCACAGTTTTTGAGCAGTTATGCAATTAGCCTCTCGGCATTTCCCTTCTGGTGCTGGACATCGAAGAGCATGCCGCAAGAACAATAACCACCTTAGCTGATCCCTGAACTGCCGTTCATGGGGTTGATTACTAGTTCTACACATAACTCCAACAGATTGTGGGGGCTCAGCTGTTCTAGTAGTAAGAGTTTGAGAAATGATGGATCCCTCTGTAGATAAATTATTGAGTTGAGCTTCATCTTGCCCAATTATTCTATGACGGAATTCCTCTCGGATGTTCTGCTCATGTGACAAGTTCCCTGGTATGAGCGACCTGTCATGAGATTTAGTATGCCATTTACCCTGCAGAACTGCCTCAGGTTGTACTCCGATAGAAACACAACTAAAATCACTTTGACAGTCAGAAACCAACTGGTGTGGATGCATCAATTGTTGCATTTGTTGTGAAGGTTGAGTCATTGATGAACATATATCCTGTGGGCCAGAAGTAAGAGAGAGCAACTGAGTACCTCCAGAATGACCTTCAGCAGAGTTCTGCTGAAAATGGTTATCCAAGTCGGACAGTTGGAATTGTTCGGACACTTGCGACTGCAGCGCTTCCTCATGACGCTCCATTCCATGCTCAAGCTTTATTTGACTGCCTAGATCAGATGAAATCTGAGGTTGACCAAAAGCATCATTCTTTAAAAGCCGATGCTGCTGACTTTGCTGTTGTTGAAACTGATGAGGCTGCTGTTGATATTGCTGCTGTTGATGAGGCTGCTGTTGATATTGCTGCTGTTGATGAGACTGTAAGAGATTCTCTCGCAGAGACTGTGGAGATTGGAAATTCATCTTTTCTGATTGATCGATTGATTGAGGCTTTAATTGTGCAGTCAGTTGATTACTGTGCAAATTTGACTGGTTGGTAATCAATTGAGAGTTAGTTTTGGATATGGACTGCAAGCTTACTGGATTCAAATTCTGATTATTCATCATTGATCCAACAGAAGTTACAGGGCCATAGAAGTTTCCAGATGTAGAAGAATCAGCACTACTCATACCATAGCCATCACCTGCCAAAAAATATTTGCACGAGAACGCTGTTATACTATACTACAACAACGAAAAATACGACATCTTCCACATGTTTCTGGAAGTGTGACAAATTGGACTTCATAAGATCTTCCATGATAAGAGGGGGGAAAAAAAGGTACCCTGCATTGTTGGTTGTTGATGTTGATTGTAGAGTTGTTGTGAAGGTTTTGGTGCACTGCCATATGGTGTTGCTGTCAGATAACCGTCCGAGGTTCCTGGACTACTCAATAGTTGCAAGTTGCTTCCAATCATTCCTAACCCACCATTTAAGGGCCCATTTGAAAATCCATAAGATTTCTGCTGAAAAGCAGACCTAATTCCACCACCCATATGGCTGCCAAGGTTGTGCAGTATACGGCTATTTTGACCACCAATTTGCTGCTTTTGCTGTAGTGGTTGTGACACCATTGCAGATTCGACGCTTGAAAAACCACCACCATTATTAGATGATTCCAAGTTCATGTAAGGCTGATTATTGTTACTATTAAATCGAGGAGTAGGAATCATTTGACTTGTCATTCTGTCAACACCAACTGACGACATCATGTTGTTTCCACTGGAACTGATGGAGAAATTGGAAGGTGACCTTTGATATCCATTAGATAAAGATCCTGTGACAGTAGATTCTATTACACTAACATGAAGAAATGAAAGTTGATAGCATTAATCATAAGATCGCAAAAGTTTAAGTACCATCAGATGAACTAAAGGAACCCCCATGTAGACCAACAGAAGGTCCATTGGCAGTTTGCATTAAACTTCCGGTATTGACTGTTGTTGAAGCTATGCTACTGGCAGCAATGATTGAAGTATCAACAGATGATGTAACCATCAAGTTTGAGTTCCCACTGTAAGGCATACCAGGAGTTGGTATCATTGTACCAACGGAAGAAGAAGAATTAACTGGTTGTGGAAAATGTTGATTTTGACTACCCAAAAGCGGGCGCTTGATCAAAAGGTGTAAACGATTCTCTAAGGTCTCCATGTTCATATACTCCTCCTGACATTCAAGAAAGTGGATGTCAGAAACAAAACAAAACAGGGAAATTGCGTCTAAATTATGATTTGTAAGCATATGTCTACCGTACACACGGACATCAGATGTATAATACATCAAACCCCGAAAAACAAGATATGATGAAATGAATTTATATCCATGTATATGTATTTTCACATCTTTATTTGCAAATGTTTATGTTACAGCAATTCTTTTTTTATTAGTAACATGGCAACGTTGATCAAATTTGTTATAAAATGTTTGTTAATTCAAGGCCAATGACGAATTTGCGAAGCAGTTCCGTGTGGAGGGTGCCACCTAAACTAATATTTATCAGAGGGGTTATTTAGAAATGCAGAAATTAGTGGTTCAAATAAACAATATTGAAAATAAAATAAGATTTAAGTTTCTTTCATCCTTTCAAACCAATATAATCCTTTCTTTTTTTCCTAGTTAACCAAAATAATCCTTGGAGCAGTTAGGCTCTAAAATCAAACTCTCAAATACCAAACTCAACAATTAGGGTTTGTTCTGAGCATTCATATCATTCACTAAGTTTAGGATGCATTGCATGCATGCCTGAATTTTTTTTTTTTTTTGAAACAGATTTTAATTTGAAAAAACAAGTTTTTAGTTTTATTGAACACAAGATTTCAATAGATCGAACCATCGATCGACCTACTCTGTGTGAGTAGGGACAGTCGAACCACCAAATGGATCGATCAGAACTTATAAAAACCAGTTTCCTAATTGGTTTTAAACCCTAAAACCTAATTATCTCTTATCAAAAGAAAACATCCTAAGGGGTCAAAAACAAAAAAGTTTATTCATCATCTACACACATTAGTGAGTTACAGTATTGACTATTGAGTGCTGGATTAGTCAAACATATAAGCTTCAAAGGAGATCAACACCCAAAATCACACAAACAAAGATCGAGTGTTAGGACAACTGGCCCAAGCAGCATCTGAAAATAGGTCTATGATTGTATTACTTTTTCTTATAGTGCATTTAATTCACCTCCGTATAGGGTTTTCCATGTAAATAATGATGTTTTCGTGTGAATGCATTTATTTAAATTTCTATTATTTAATTGCTACTGATTATTTCTTACTTGATTATACTAATAGGTTTTAAAATCCATTTAGTTAGTTACAATTTTGAATGACCTAATCACTATCCTCTAGGTCTAGCTGGAGATTTAGTATACTCTTGACACATCAAAGCCAAGAGTAGAGTATCGGTCCTCCTTCCACACACCCCTCCCCCCTCTCCAAAGAACAAAAAAGAAGTTGTAGATTGTGTCAACATGTGATCTGACGGTAGTAGGATCGTGTCCCAACAAATCATAACATGTCTACTAGGTTTAAGAATTAATTGTTTGAATAAAAAATAAGAAACTCAAACCATAGGATCTATAGAGTTTAACAATAAAAATAACTAGAAGGCAGTTCTCCATCAAACTATCACGAGCAATCTAATAATGCAAAGATATCTTTCTTGTAGTATGATACGAAAAATAAAAAGAAACCCCAAAAAGATGGAAGGAGTACTTGTTCTATGATTCTACTGCAATGAAAGCTTCTCCTTATCAGTAAGCACGATGAGAGCAACTTTAATAATTCAAACCAACCAATACAATGATTAAAATATGTCACAAAGTACGTTTCAAAAAGAAGAAACGGGAAGCATAATTATAAGAACCTTTGTGCCGGCAGTTCTGAATAGACCCTCTTCTAACCGTCTTACAATATCCATTAGCCTCTTTGGTGGTATATCTTGAGCTGGTTGCTGCCGCTGCAAGAAAAAGTCATAGCTGGAGAGCAGGAGATTACAAAGTTTGATCAGTAGTCAATAATATGGAAAAGCTCCTAGAAAAATCCTACGAATGGTCATGAAGTAAGTAGTTCCAAGAAATATGTTAAACAAAAGAAATAACAATAAGAAGGGAAGATGAAGGGGGTAGAAAGATGAAGATGAAGAAGAAACTTAATGGCAGTATCTGCTCAGTTAAGTTAATATGTCATGCCAAAAGTATGTGATAAAATCATAAAAGATAAAGAGAAAAATGAGCCTCTATGTTGCAGAATCGGTGCAAGAATACCAAGCTTGTCAAGGAATTTTGCAAAAGCTATGCAAGTTAATACAAGTTACACTACATATGTTTGCTTGCATGTGACACCTTATAATTGACATTAGAGCACATATGATTTAAGGAGGTGATGAAGGCAACCTATCAGAGTCAGTACCGAATAAACTTTAAAATTAAGATGTCGTGCACCCTGATACACCATATGCACTGTCTGACCCAGTGGGCTTTTACAGCTCAGCATGCAGCTAACATCATGGCCCACCTCCAGATATGCAGAAATGTCAGAGGCTCGCAGCCTTTTGTACAGATATCAACATGACCCTCACAGTACTTGGACGTGTCATCATCCTCTGAGATCCAAGGAGTAATCGTCATGGTGGCTGCAGTCCAGACTTGTTGAGATGTCAACACACCTCTATCAAGCTTAAAGAGAGAGAACATTTACCTGCTGGATGATGTATGAACTCTATGACATGATGATGCCCTAAATGACCACACCTATTGCACATGGCAACTATCCATGAAATGCCCTGTTGACAAATGGAGGCTCCCATTGGACCTCAATGAAGCTTGTTGAGACCCTGGTCGCATCTGTGCCATCATAGCTCCCGCACCAGCCACCCAGGTGCTGCAAACCCACCTATTACATTCCAACTAGATAGCCCCAATGGGGATTGCTAGTTCCCAAAACCTACACAGTATGAGCACCACCTTGCTCTCATTCCTGAACTATATAAATGCACCTTTACCATACACTTCATGGACTTTTTAGAACTGGATAAACCATATTATGTTTGAGACCTTAAGAACACTTGATCAAACCTCTAGCGACCTAAAATAAATTTTGGCAAGGCACTGATTCTGAAGAGCCTGCCGTGACCACAATACAGCAAATTCTTACTTTTATAAGTCCATCTTGACTTCCATCTATCCTAATCTACCTCAGACCTATACAATATTGTTTGCAATTTCCTCAATCTCTTACTTAGCAACGAGAAGTCAATAACCCACAAGAATTGAAAATTCTAAACATATTATTCAATCGAGTACTACTATCCCATCCGTCCTGCAAAATGATCAACTGCTCACATATAATTACACCCATTCCTCGTTTAAAGTGATATCACATCACAAACATTAAGATACATATATTTGTATAGTAAGTGGAGGAAAAAAAACATCCGAAGTAAATGAGAACGTATATCATATGCAAGAAATAAGCATTTCTTGCCCATTAAAGGAGGAGAAAAATCTATTCATCAAAAAAAGGAAGAAAATAAATTTCTAAGTCATGCAAGAAAGTACATGAAAATCGAAAAGAACCAACTTTATATGCATTGGATGCCAACTATTGTCATCAGCAATGAATTTTTAAAAAATTAATCCAGAGGTGGGGTGCAACTAGTGACGGTGCCAAACATTTACTATAATGGGGGCGATTAAAAAAAAATGTTCATGTAATTTGTAAAGGTAGTCTACCTTAAGCACCTTACTAAGAGAGTATTTCATATCTATCTCAAAGACTTGTATTTTTTTTTTTTTTGATAAGTAAGATTTTATAAAAAGCACTCAAAAGGGGAGCAAATCCCAAAGAAACAAAAAGGCCAAAAAACGCCTCAAGCCTTCAAAGAGGCCAAAAAGAAAACAATCTCCTCTATAGATCTATAATCTCTCCCTGAGATCCAACAAAAAAGAGTGGAAATAATGGAGAACTTAAGCATAGAAACAGGCTTCTCCTTTCCATCGAAATATCTCCAATTTCTCTCGAGCCAAATGCACCACCAAATACAGAGAGGCGTAGCCCTCCAAGCATCATGAATGAGAGCCCCAACTGAGAAACCTCTCCAAGCCTCGATCAACCCTCTAGAGGAACAAGGCATAACCCAAGGGACCCCAAACAAACCAAGCATCAAATCCCAACAGTCTCAAAGACTTGTATTAAGACAAATCTTGACAAATTGACTCCCATAATACCCTGTAATAAGCAGTTAACAAGTTTAACAATAGATCAATAGGAAAATCTATTATTGGTTTCCCTTTTCATGAGCTATATCAATTTGTATTTCATAAATAAATTATTTCAGACCTTGAGTTAAATTCTCTCTCTAAATTAGATACGTTGTCCTTTTATCATGCATTCTAGTGCTTTGCTGAATTGGTCATGTACTTCATGTGGTGATTCAATTGGCTTATTTTCTTCACATTTCGCTATTTGGATATTGATACAAAACAAATTCTCTCCTTTTTTTCTTCTTTGGTTTCCATGTTGAATACATCTTTTATTTTATTTATTTTTCTTTTTAAACCCCCAATTTCTCCATTAGTGCAACTGATTCTATTCATAGTTGAGGTTCTTAGACAACAAATAATGTTGATCTAATTCTTAGAAAATAGAAGAAGATGGTTTCAATATCCAATATCTTACATTGGAACTTCATAGGTCCATCCTTCGTTAGAAATTGAAAGAAGCATGTTTCACTTTTGTTTTCTTCTGAAAAAGCATTGTCTTTTTACAAGGAAAAAGAAAAAGAACAAAAGAAATAAAGAGGTACGGAGATAAGAGGAAGCAAACTACTTGAGCTTGGCTTATGATCGGCCAGGTTAGATACTCTTGTGAATGGTTACTAGATAAACAAGCCAAAATTGATCACATTCTAAAGCTTGTCAATTTATTGAGTTCGGCAGCGATTAAGACTAAAATACAAAACCAAGCTACTTGAGCTCAGGGCTTGAAGATCCTCAGTTATTTAGCATGGATAATACCTAGCTCAATCAGATAAGCTGACAGACATACTAAGACTGTATAAAAAAAAAAACCTGCTACTAAAGCTCAGATAATAATCAACCCAAATTAGAGTTCACTTGATCAATAAAGTAGTCAATATCTAAATTCGATTTAGAGCTTGTAAATTTGTTAAATGAGCTAATCAACCACTACACACTTGACTTGCCTTTTTTGTTATTTTGGCACTTGTTAACCTTTTTTTTTGTTTTGTTTTTGTTCTTTTGTCTGTTGTTACTTACCAAATAGCCTCAAAACAGAAACAGCATCATGTTGACTGTTCATCCTCATGTATTGATTCTTAATTTCTTAAATGAATTTTGACTACATTAACCATGACCAAATATATCATTTTCTATCCCATCCCCACACTTTCCATGCACACATGCATAACACTCAAAATAGCCTAAGGCCATTACAAGCTTTAGGTCCTCGTTTATCTGAGAGGTCGACTGGATGCTGAAGACTAACCTTAAACATTATAAAGTTACTGCCCTCATATTCAAACCCACATTCTCACACTTAACTGCCAAACGTTTACCAATGCACCAAGCACTCAAGATAGCTTTAAAAATAAAAATAAAAATAAAATGAATATAGAATATCTTACATCTTCCCTTGCACAAATCGGCGTTCTGGCTCCACATTGGGTGTATTACGATGGCCACCTAAATTTTGTATCTGGGTGGAAAGAGAGTTTCCATTCTGCTGGGGTAGCCCAGGCACCTGAGTGCCAGCTTGATTAGATACCTGCCCTGAGATCTGCCTGGACGTATGTGCCTGTACATTCATCTTTGTCCCCTGGGCTCCTAAATTCCAATTGTTGCATAACCCAGAAAATCATAATATGAATATTCCATACTCAAAAAGCTTTAGTAACACATCTTCATCAACACTTGTTGTTAGATGTAATGAACTCTGTCATATAAACAAAAGCCAGATGTCCTGTACGAGAAGAATAAGACAAAAGCCCATCATTTTTTAGTTCACTCTGTTAAGACTTTATAATTTCTTATTGTAATAGGAATAAAGAAGCATTGTAAACGTTTATGCAGATACAATTCACAAAATTAGAACATGGGTAAAGAAAGATATCTTAATAGAGAAACATAGCAGAACATTTAAAAGGTTGACGTGGTTCACTTTTGGTAAGACTACTGGAACATCACCATAAAAAGTGAGTTATACAAAATTTGTTACCCAGCTTCTATAAAATCAGGTCACCATGATCCAAATCATAGAATCCCATCACCATGATTCATACCATGTTCTTCGAGCGTCGACTAAATAGCAAAACCCTAGATATATATGTTTTATTTTTTTGGGTTGTGATGGGGTGGCTCATCGTCATCACATTTACCGCCCGCCAGGGTGGGGGTCTCACTGTCATCATCATCATCCTTGTCTTTATCCCATCTTAATGGGCTTGGCCACATGATCTCTTTTTCATTCTTTTCTAGTACAAGGCATTTCTACTCATTTTTAATTACTTCATCCAATGTAGCTTTGTTTGGCCTCTTCTCTCTTACCTTCTATGCAAAGTAATCTTCCTTTTTTCACGGGTGCATCTACGTGTCTACATAGTATGTATCCGGACCACCTAAATCTACTTTCTCTTATTGTATCACTCATAAGCATCACGCATTATTTTTTTTCTCACATGTTAATTATTAAGCTTATCTCTTCTACTCACTCCATTTTGTCCAACACACTCCTATCCTGCTAATTTATATCACCGTCATTTTAAATTATTAATCCAAATATAAAAAATGGTTACTCTAAGTAATCCTTTGGTCTTGATTCTTGAATAGTTACCATTATATTCTTGTTTTCTGAGAGTTTGGTAAGCTTACATTCCACATTTCCACTTCAGTCTTAGTCTAATAAATTCTTAAGTCTTTCGTCTCTAAAGTATTTCTTCATGTTTCTAATTTTATTCCTACCATTTCCTTGGAAGTATCCAATAGTACTATGTCATCGATAACAATAGGCACCATGGCATGCCTTCTTGTATATCATTTCTTATTCCAACTAAAATTACTGTCAGTGAAAATAGGCTTAGCACTGATCTTTGGTGTGATCTTACCTTTATAGCGAAGTCACTAATCCAACAACATATAAGTACGAACTCTAATATCTCTTGATATATATATCCTGAATAATTATTGGTAAATGAATATTACAGTATCAAAATCTGATTTCTTTTCTTGCCCAAGCTTTAAATCCTCATGTAAGAAATAAACAGTCTTCTTTTAAAAGAGAAAACAGACACGCCTCATCAACAAAATACCAACTTCACCCTATGTGCCTTTTGTGGCTATCATACCACTTGACATAGTCACCTTCTACCAAAATACTGCAATAAAAGTAGATTTTGCAAAATAAATTTGTTTTTTATTAGTAAAAAGGCTATCCTTAAGAATAATATGTTCAAAGCTTTGTGGTATTCACAATAATCATTTGATGCAGCAGCATTTAAGATAAAACATCCTGCCTCTGAGATGTTTCTTTCCTTTTTTTTTCTACAAGATGTATATAAAAAGAGCACTCGCAAAGGAAATGCATCCCACTTACAACTGCACACAAGTCAAAAACACTAAAACCTCAAACTATCCAAAAAATACATGAGATCCTTCACAAGATTTACACTCCCAGCCATGGCTCCAATAAAATAAGGAACTAAGAATATAGAATTTGAACACCCAAATAAGAGTCTCCTACAATTCATTCTCTCCCACCATAAGTTCCACCACGAACACGGGCAACCCTCCAAGCATCTCGAGCTTGTTTTCCCACTCTATACCGTCTCCAAGTTTGAAGAACGCACCTCGAACTTGGTTGCCCCTAAGATGTTCTTTTAACCAATCCTTTTAATATTTTAAATTACTCAAGCAACAAAAACCAAATAGGATGCCAGAAAAATTAGAGAACGAAAAAACGAAGTCATCGCTGCATATTGTCTTGAATAGATCATATGGAAAGTCATTCAAATAGGTTGACGCCATGGCCTTTGAATCATAGATGATCAAACACGTGACCAAACTACAATTGCGCAAACAATTGCTATGTAGAACATAGCTCAAAGTGATATTGGCCAAAGTAAATCATTGATCTAAAGATGAACTCAGTTATCTACAGCCAATGTCTGGTTTGTTACCGCTCTTTTCTTCTTAAATCTCCAACAATCCCACTTAAAAGACCCACAAATCTGTTCCCATGAGTGAAGTTTTTAAGATAAATATGGAATCTGTGGAGATTGGTGGATAAAGAATTAAATTTTACGGACTGACAAATACAGATCGTGGAATATAAAATTTGAATAGGTGGACCATCGGCACATCAACTCTTAGACCGCTGCCTAGCGCAGGGAACGTGCGAGGAGCCACCTTCTTGCATGGATCATGTGACTAAGGTCGGGACATGAGGAGAGGTGGTTGTTAAACAAGTGTTGATTTTTACAAAAGTCAAATAAATGGCCTATTTGTGCAGTATAAAAAGTTTCACCCAAAGTCCATATATCATTCTCATGATTCCTAGAATTATAAATTTCATTTTATTAAAAATTTATGGAAATCCCATGTAAACTGGATATTTTTAATTCACAAAGGTTCATCAAGGAAAAGGCTTTGTTGAGAAATACGATTCATGTAGCCGACCCCAAGAGGTTGGGGAAAAGGAATTAGTTGAGATTTGAGAAAGATTCATTAAGTAATGCATTACCGATCATTATGCATTTCCACACTTCGCGGAAAAACACAACCCAAGTGTCTCGCCCCAAACTGCCGAATCAATACAAACTATAAGGCACCACATACTGGTGGTAACTAACTTACTGCACATTACAATAATAATAAGTAAGCATGAAGGAGGAACCTATGGCAATGTTAGAGGTTGAATACTTTATATGACTTGCCAACACAATTCAGATCCAACAGAAAGTTAGCAGATAGCTAAGAAAACATTTTGTGTTCAGATCTGGAGCCTCAACCCACTAAATCAATTTCACCCATTTAGCTGTATTTAAGTCAAAATGAATATGATAACCCATTTAAATACTTATTATGTGCATTACCTATCCATATATATATGTATATATATATAATAGTGAATATGTAGGATATGTGGGATTTTGCATCATATTGATTGTGTTCATGTTTGATACTAAATTGGACTTTATAGATTAACAAAACGCATTAACGCATTAAGCATGCCATCGCATGTGCAGGTTAAGAGGTCCTAAACGGCTGAAATAACCCTAATAGTACTAGCTTTAAAATGTTAATCATGACAACTAATACACGGCCCAACATGACCTGCTCATTGAACGTGTTAAAAGGTCATTTCATAATACCCACTTAACAGGTGGGCCATGCACATGTCAAGGTTCTTGATATAAATAATAAACAAGTAACTGATTGCGTTCGGGTTGACAGATATAGCAGAATCCTTCTGTCTCAATACATCCTGAATACAAGTCATGCAAACATATAAGCAAAGATCAACCTTTACTTTAAAAAGTGGGTATTTGTGACACTAGATTGGAAAATGACATTTATGGCAAAAATATGCTTCTGATGAGTGATGAAGTCAAGAAGCAAGGTCAAATCAGAAGCTATGCCAGAGTATCGAGGTGCTCACTCACATAACCGGCCACAAGTCATTTCAGCTGGCAAAAACGTAAATGAGGGAGCTTGTAGTGCAGCACTAAATCACTAATCAACTGCTAACCAACATCTACAAGTGGAGAGGGAATGGGAGTAAGAATTTAATAGATTAACAAGAAGAGAAGTGGAGTAAGAAGCTAAACGGACATCAGAATATGGTATCCTACTTGCCTACCATCCCTACCAAATCATATATCACAACGATCAGCAATTCCAGATACCATAAATAATTTCTTCACTTATCAGCAATGAATTACAACCCAAATTAAACTACATAGAACTTGGGAGACCTACCGGATTCCTGAACGTCACCCATCACCACAAAACAATATTTTCACTCATGACCATTCACTTCGAACAATTGCCTTTGCAAACTCTTATTAATTATTGTGTACCTGGTGTGATGAGAAGGAATAAATACATAACCAAAAAAAAAAAAAAAAAGGTCAACAATGGCAAACACTGCCAAGAAAGCCGAACCCCCAAACGGAGAAAAGGGTGTGGCAATTGGACAAGAAAGATTCACCAAAAACAACTTTATCTAAATGAAAATTTGCAGCTCAGGAATTCAAAAATTGGAATTGCCCTAGGTGCAAAATGAAATATTTAGATTACCCGTGCAGTACAACAGTAAAGAATTAGGGATTAATTGATTCGCTGTGTAATTTCAGCTGTACAATTTTCAATGTCCACACCACAAATAAGAAAAGGTCCAAATTACCACGTAGGCAGAGGAAAGAAAGTAAATTACCAATCAACAATTGCAAAATTGAAGTTAAAATCTCAAAAAGCCCTAACAGAATTGGTATCATACAGTCCAAAATTGAAAGAACGTGCAGCAAGGAAAACCCTAATTGAGGACGAACCTGATTGAGCGTGAAGACAAGGACAACAGCACAATCGAGAAAGAGACGTAGCTCAATTTCAGCGATTCGGAGCTTTTCTTTCTGTTCGCGAAAAAAAATAATGATGAGATGGTGTATCGCGTTGACGATGAATGACGGAGATCGATGGATGTAGGAAACAGGAGAGGAGAGAGAGAGAGAGAGAGAGAAGAAGGAAGATGATCACCGCCCAAAGCCACGCGCGAATTCTCACGCACGCACTCACACGCACACACTTAACGGAAGATGAATAATAAAGTACTTAAAGAAGGAGAAATCCAGGGATTTTACTTCATTGCCGGAACGTCCTATTTTTCATACGGAGTATATATTAAGGGTAAGAATTTCCGAGTTTATACTACCATTAGGTCTGACCATATTCGGAGTATTATTTTTTTGTGCTGGTAAAAACTTAAACTTGTAGGTTCAGTCATGATACGGTAACACACACTCGTTAAATATCGACACATAAATAAAAATATAATTAGTGAGTTCTTTAATTAGTGCATGATATTATTTTATATTTGTATTTAATTAGTGCACGATATTATGTTATCACTACAAGTTAGGTATTTAAATCTTTATGAATTTGTTTGATTAGTGTTTATGTATTAGATTATTATAATTCTTAGAATTATTGTCCAATGTTATTTTAGGATTTGTTTGACAATTATTTTTGTTTTTATTTTTTATTTTCTTTCATAACCGAGATGTATATTATTGATACAATAACATTAAAGTACAAATATTTTTGTTTTCAAATCGATAAAAATAAATAAATAAATGGTGAAAATATGTTTGATAATATTTCTCACAATACTAGAAAAAATCTATATATGTAAGCATTTAAAAAAATATTTTTATTACCGAACAATTGTAGAGAATTTTTAATAAAGCTCCCAAAATGCCTACAAAATCATTTCAAGCCTTTCATTTTGTCATTTTTACTAAAATCTTTAAATTCTCAATAAATATATGTTGCCTAAGTTTTGACCCTTGATGAAGGGTAATAAGGTATAATTGAGTGTTATTCATTGCATTCCATTGATAAGAAATTCTTGGTTATAGTATTCGGTTTAACTATTAAGTCTAAGAATTATTGTCCATGTATTATTTTAAGGTTTTTTTTTTTATTTTTTTGGGTTTTGTTTTTCCTAAACAACTAATCATGGTGTATATTATTTGATGGGAAAAAAGTAACCATAAGTTTGACATGCCGCCTTGACCAATTAGTTCCCTTCAACTTTCTTGTCATGGAAAATAGGATAGCAACAATATACGATAATGAGGAAACTATTATCATTCAATTGACGATAAATATGAGAGATCGGTTATATAAGATAAACCAAATCTTCCCAATCAACATCTACGTAACCGGATCTAGAGGCAACCTTAAATACGATAGAGAGCCATTAAACAAGGTAGAGACAAAACTCCTAAATATTAAATACATAATTAATTTTTCTGTTATACGATTGCAAGCAATGACTTGATCGTCGGAGGGTCTTAGGTCGATGCCCCACTAGTACCATCCGAGGTGACGTAATCTCCATTATTTTGCAGGTAAACGACGTCGTTTCGGGTCACGCTGATTTCTGCTTCAACAATTGATGCCGTCTGTGGAAAACGATTAGTTCCCTAAAAAAATAGTAATTTTGACGTGATTTGGCTCAAATGGCGAGACAAAAGTTTTCGATCATGAAAACCATCCCGAAAGAATCTATGGTAAAGTGTCACAACAACGGGTCCCCCGTTCTTATAGAATGATTGGTCTCCATGCCAAGATCCCCATATCCATCATTCTTGGAGCATAACAATGAATCATATGATGCCAATCTGCATATGATGGCAAGGTCCAGAAGTTGATGCATCAACCTCGGCACACCAAACCCTAGTCTCTTTTGCCAACCATTACTTGGCCTTAGCACTAACAAGGCGCAGTCTTCTGAAACCAGGCACCAAGACCTGGTCATATAAGACCAAGGTCTGATCATCCAAAATCATAGCTTGACAGGTCTCTACACACCAGGAAGGACTCTATCTCTAAAAGAGTTTCTACGATCGAGGAGTTCACCCTGTCCAAGGTGTTCCCAAACCTAATGACCGTTAGGTGCCAAGAATGGTCTCTTCCACATCTCATGCACACACAAGCCTAGTGAGCTTCAATCACATTAAGCCAGGGGTAGGTTCAAGCCTCTAGTAAGGGCTCATCCAAATTGAGCCTTATAGTAGTATAGGTCACCCACATCAAACCTTTGGTAAGGGCTCATCCATATCGAGCATAAAACTAGCATAGGTCACCAACATCAAGCCTTTAGCAAGGGCTCATTCAGATCGAGCCTTACATTAGCATGGGTCATCTACATCAAGCTTCTGGTAAGGGATCACTCAGATCTAGCTTTGCTGGCAACGCTCATTCACATCAAGCCTTTGACAAGGCCTTTCCCAGATCGAGCCTAAGAATGGCAAGGCCTCACCAACATTAAGATGAATCAGGTCTCCCACCAGGGCTAGGCAAGTTTCTGACCAAGGCAAGACAATGTCTCCTCCCAAGGTTGGCAGGACTCCACCAAGACAAGAGGTTTTCTGTAATACCCCTAATTTTAAAAATGATATTTCTGGTATTTAATGGTATTTAATTTATTATTTAAGTGCATTTTAATTGATTATGTGTCATTATTTTTTTTATTAGGTGCTTAATTGTTTTCTTTTGTGGTGATTTAATTTATTTAAATGATATTTATTTTTAGTATTTGATTGGAATGACTTGTTAGTGTTTTAATTATTTAATTGGCATTAGTGGTTTAAGTGTAATTGGTTTAGTTATTTGATTGGAATTACTTGTTAGTATTTTAATTATTTAATTGACATTAATGGTTTAAGTGTAATTGGTTTAATTATTCTATGTGTGTCTTATTTTATGTGTGTCTTATTTGGTTTAATTGGGTTCACTAATTATTATTTTGTTCAATTAGATTATTTGTTAAGTATTTAATGGTGAATAGGGTAATTAGGTAAATATATCTAACTAGGGTTTTAATTACAGTATAAATTAGGGTTTTATATTATAGCCGTCGTATGTTTCTACATTAATTGGATGGGCCGGTTAGGATTGTGAGTTAGACTTAAATGAACCTAGGGTTTAGGAAAACTCTATAAGTATAAGGTAGACGTCTGTGTAGGGTTTTTTTTAAACAAAACACACGTTTTGTGGAAGTGGAGAAAGAAAAATGCAGTTTTTCACATTCTGCCAAGGTTTGATCAAAGCTCCGACCCCACTTCGTCTGTGGTCCGATCGAGCTGAATTTTGGAGGAGAGGTTCACGACTCAGTGACGCACAATATGAACGGTGGAGATCAGAGTTTGACCTCGGGAACAGTGATTCGTACTCATGAACAGTAACTGGGTCGCACAGGTTTTTTTCTATTCTGCCTAGATTTCATCAAACATCCGATCCTGCTTCGTCCGTGGTCCGATCGAGCTGAATTTTGGAAGAGAGGTTTAAGACTCAGTGATGCACAATCTGAACGGTGGAGATCAGAGTTTGACCTCGGGAACAGTGATTCGTACTCGTGAACAGTAACTGGGTCGCACAGGTTTTTTTCCATTCTGCCCAGATTTCATCAAACATCCGATCCCGCTACGTCCGTGGTCCGATCAAGCTGAAATTTGGAGGATAGGTTCATGACTCAGTGTCGCACAATCTGAACGGTAAAGATCAGATTTTAAGTTCGAGAATAGTGTTTCGTACCCATGAACAGTAACCGGGTTTTGGAACTCACCGGGATTTTTTAAGAAAACGACGTTGAAACTTTGAACAAAAGTTTCTGAGGCAAGATTTTATCCTTACTTTTCCCTTAGGCTTCATACTCTTTGCACTCTTAAATGATTTCAGGATTAATGAAGATTAAACCAAACTAAAATGATATCTGTTTTGCTATGAAACTGGTAGTTACAGTAGTGTTGTATGCTTGTTCAACCTAGACTAAGTATGTTTGTGGATGCATTGTGGTTCTGTGGTTCACGTTTTTCCTTACCATTGCTAGTATAAATTATTGGAAGGATGGGTCTAGATGATAGTTATCTTAACTTCTGTAATAGCAACTGTTGGAACTTAAATACTAGGAGGATTTGAGTTTAACACTAGATCGGTTTTGTGGAACACTATAATTTGAGCATGTCTACATACATACTGTGAATATTGTTTTGATGCTTACATTATCACAGTTAGTATCAACTGTGGAGGTTAGGATTTTGTGATACATACCCTACATATCTGTATGTCATTTGTAAGGTGTTAAATGGAAGTTTTAATTAATTCTATCTTTATATCAGACTAAAGGGAACAACTTAAATTGGGCACGTATATGTTGTTGTTGTGACCCTGTTTATCAATGTTTATTTTATCACTGCTAACATTGAATGTTGGATGTTGGAATTTAGTTGATATATACTTGATTTATTGGTATTATTGACTACTGGATGATTGGAAAGTAGGCACCGGTATGGGACGGTGGCATACTAAAGATGGGTTTGGTTTTTAAATCAATACCATTACCCACCTACTTGGAATAAGGATGGGATTAACTAAAAGTTAAGTCCCGTGGATTTGTATTGTCATGGCAACTACTTGTTGAGCGGCAATACCAGGGATTTTGGATGGATTTTATATATGTACTGTTATGGTGCCTCGGTATGAGCTTGAGCCTCAGGACCGATGGCTAGGGAGCGTATATGCATTGGGATGTGTAGCTGGCTACGATGGTTGGAGGTGTACCCTGTTTAGGTATAGGTACATATGCCCACTTCGTGTGCGTTTTAGCATGTTACCTCTATTCAGGTTGAGACCGGCCTGTAGTCCAGTGAGAGTCCTTTAATGTGACTATATATATATATTTATGGACTATTAGCTATTGTTGAATTGTTTAGGATGTACATGCGTATCGGGCCTCTGTTTGGATTGTAGTAGTATAGAACTTGCGCGTTGGCCTGACCCACTTCTATTTTTCAGGTACACGACAGTTCCAGGCTTAGACGTGTTCGTGCTGAGCAGAGGTCTCTATTCACTCTTCCGACAATGTAGGGCTCTCTCTATAGTTTTATTTCTGGACGTTTATTACAGTTGTTCTATTTTCCGTTTGGATGTTTAATAGGGGTCCACTAGAGATGGATTCCCAAGTTGTAAACTGATGGAGTTTTGGAGTTTGGGTTTTGCGGATTTTATTTTTAGTT